GGCAGGACGGCACTGCATATCACGGCGCAACATTATCCTCCTTTACTTCTGTCGCCCTTTCGCCGCACCCACTGGTAGCCTTTTCACTACGGGTACCCTCTCGCATGGCGACAACATTATCTGAACTTGCTGCTGCGCCGACTCCGGGCGCACAGCTCATCGTCAACATCCTCTCCGCTGCACAAGCCGACGTTGCACAAGCGTTCTCTCGACCAGACCTACATCCGCACCCATTCGAGGGCGCCCTCATACCGTGGTCTCTGACTCGTGACCGCTTACCACTATTGCACAACTCGCTTGGCGCCCTAGCTTGTCAAGTGGTCGGCGCTGCATGGCCATTGAGCGACCTGGAGGCTCTCGGCGGCAAGAGTCAGTCACCTGTGGAGGGTGCTGAGGCCGGGGATGGTGTAGTTTCGGAACTCTTTCTGGCGCGAGTTCTCAACGTAGAAGACGTTCCGTCAAGCCCAGGAATCGATAAGGAGAAGCGCAAGCTCCCACTCTTATACCACCGCAGGAGCTACGGAACCGTGCGGAGACATCCATCTGGCCCTCCGTTCAAAAGGTAGTGCTCACTCAACGCGACCTGTCGTTATGGATATATGTGAGCAACGTCTTGATCTTTCATAGCCTCCATATATTTATCTCTATGCACAGGCCCTGATCACCTATGCTCCGCATAGAATATCAACTTCATCGTTGCTGTCAAGTACAATGCTCTGTGCTCATTGTCCAAACTATTACAAACAATGTATAATTCCCAACCAAGATCTGATGTCATCTTCGCCCCGAGATCACCTTTTACTGGAAGACCTTAACCCAGTTGATGTCGAAGTACGCGTTCTGGAACGCCGAAGGGTTGTTCTGGACCCAGTCTGCAATACGAGTAAGCTTCGTTCTTGAAGGGGGATCTGTGAACCTGCTTACCCGTGCAGGTACCAGTGCCACAGCCATCAGCCTCAAACTCGCTCTCAACCCAACCGCCACCTATCGTGTAGTCAGATTATGCTCTTTGCTGACGGACGAAGGCACCAAGGCACGTACAGAGGTCGACGTTCATGAGGATGTTGCGAGCGTGGAAGTGTGATTCAATATCGCAGTCGGTGTTCGGGAAGTAAGCGCTCGGCGTGCCCTGAGCAGATAAGCCGCTCATGAGAGCGTGTGGATAATCTCGCGCAGAAGCGTACGCACCCAGTTGTCAGTGTTGATGCTACTTGCACCGTTCAACACATCTGACGGGATGGCCGAGGATGAACGCGGGAAGAACCAGACCTGTAAGCCGTCAGTCATCTGCTACATATAATAGTACATGTCTCTTCACCTTGATGAAGTCGGGTGTTTGCTCCATGGCGTAGAAGCCGCCACCATTCTCGTTGCTGACGGAACCATCAGATTATATCCTGTAGAACGATAAGAAGAGGCTCACAAGCCAACGCCATAATTGTCTGTTTCAGTCAGACCAACGGAGCATCCGCTGTCGCTCGTTGTATGGTCGCATACATTGTTGTTTTCGAAACCAGTCTCGTCGCGACCGCTTGGCATTGTGCAAGCTGATATTGCCGAGAGCTGTCAGCGGCCGCCGTACACATCAGCGATGAGTAACGCACGAGCAGTCTGAGGTCCGACGTGAAGAGTCGAGTAGTTCGGCGCTGGAAACATATTCCATCAACAAACGCTATCTCGTGCTCATGTAGGGAAAGAAGCATACTCTGCGACTCATCAGCAAACGCCGAACTCTGAGTGAATCATTGTACGCACCTGGTCATTCACTCCCTCGAGGATATCAATCTCACCATCAGTCTCCCAGCTGGTGCCGACCTCCCAGAGAGCAGGCCAAGTTCTGCGTTTGATCGTTCAGATCACAACACGGCGAATAACACCGTATACGACGCGGACGTACCCGCATCCCGTCGGCATGTGCGCGACGTTGTAGATAGATACATGGTACTCCCACTGCTTGATAGACTGAAGGCGAACTGAATCACGACCGGATGCTGAGGCTGAGGGAACCTTCTGGTAGTCCACGCCCATCTTGAAGCTGGTCCCAGAGACGGAGACTAACCCTTCACTCTGTGCAGCTGCGCTGTTTACGTAGTTGCTGCACAGAACTTCTGGTCAGCTATATTACGCAATCGGGACAGCTAGATAAAGCATACACATAGCCACCCGACGGATCCTCGGTGATGAACTCGAAGTTGTTCGAGTTAAGGAAGTCGTTGCCTTGGAAGTTATCCGTCAGGGTATACGCCTTGCCGGCAACGAGGCTCGGCGTAAACAAAGCCGCCGCAAGGATCTGCAGAGAGGTTGCGGACAACATGGTAGTATGATGAAGATCTTAGGGCGTGTAAGTAGGCCTGAGGATCCGACTACAACTGGTTGCCGAAAGCCAGAGCTTATGTAGGAGCAAGAGTCGGCCCAGCCCCGAGCCAGGACCAGTCACTCGACGCCGTACCTCATGGTCCCAGTGTTCCAAGACGACGAACACACGGAACTGTCGATGCAGTGCGGGCATGGTTGATGGGCATGTGCCGTCAGGGCACGAAGTCGCCGCTCGCGCGCACATCGCAGCATGACAAAAGCGGCGAACGTTACCACGTATTTCAACGCAGAGTAAGTGACGTGGATCGTCCTCCGTATTTGACTATAGCCGTATTGTGATTCTGGGCGCATATATCTGCCGATGAAGATGGAAGAGGCACTCGTGATAGTCTGATTTAAGATTCGCCAGCGAGCTGCCCCCGCTCGGCATTTGCCGCCGCCCACAAACGTGCCGTATGAATTGGCCGAAGTGGACTTATTCTTCTCCTACCATCACAACATAGTACACTTCTTGAAGATCCCGCCGCAGGGCTTCTAGCTTGAGCATATGGACCCCAACCTTGGCTGACCGACGACCCTGGTCTCATGTCTTCGAATTCTGCCCGGCGCCGTTTTCTACGCAGTAAGTTTGTCAGGTGCATTGTCCAAGCGTAACGGAATCCCACGAGCGTCTAAGCAGAACATATGTCAATTGATCGTAGCCAGATGGCGAGATGTGTATGATACGAGTGGAGAACAAGGCGTGCTAAAGGAGACTAAAGCTACAACGTTTCAAGCAAATACAAGACTATGCAACAAGGAGTGTGTTAGCTGGGTCATGATGGAATAAAGTCCGTAAGCATAAAGACTGCGAACAGACGCGCCCTGCGCGCCTATCAACGGCGATGGTATGTATAGTGTAACTCACTCCTCCTCCAGCGTCGGCAAAGCACCCGAGCCCGCCGAAACCTGGAAATACCATTCCGATCCGCGCTGGACCGTCTCCTTCACCTGGAAGATGCGCGCTCCGAGCCCGTCGAACTGCTCCGTCCCGTTCGGCCCAAGTCCGCGGACGGTGAGCGTGCGGATTTCTTCGGGCTGAGGCTGCTCGGGCTGGCCGTCGGCACCGACGAGCACGCGCCCGTTGTCAGTCGCCCAGACGGGACCCTGAGCGACCGGGCCCCTACGCGCAGCGAAGAGCCTGCGCTCCGCGAGCGAGATCGTGGGCGTCGGGTCCGTCACCTGCACACGCGCAGGGCCAGGAGTCGGCGACGCGATGCGCATGCGGCGCTGCCTCGACGGGCCAGCGACCGGCTGCTCCTGCTGTTGGGCGTTGTTGACCTCCTTCGGGAAGAAGGGTTCGAGGTCCTGGTAGCGCGGCTGGCTCGAATAAGCGGGGTCGGGCGAGAAGTCCGGGCCAGGGTTACCGCCAAGGTCGCGCCGGTGCTGGTGCTTCTGCGCGCGCGTCTCCGCTCCGTATTGCTGAGCTACGAACCCGGGCCCGACGCTCGGCGAGCGCGACTGGCGCCGGATATGGCGCGCGGCGACTTGTTCGAGCACGACCTCGCGGCGCTGCGCCTGGCAAACATCTGCAACGGTCGATTTCGCGGGGTCGTTAGCGAGGCGGGCCGACTTGCGGCGCTGAGTCTGCTCCGCACGCTTCGGGAAGAGCGACTTCTTGGTGGTGGTGGTGTTGGTCGAGGAAGTGATGAAGGGGCTGACGGAAGGTGAGCGCTCGAGAGGAGCGCGCACGATGGGCGGAGAGGGCGAACGCGCACGCGCAATCGGCGTCGCGCGACCCGGCACCTTCTTGACCGGCGCGTTGGGAGTGCGGTGGAAAGTCGGGGTCCACCTGCGCGGCGTAAGGAAGGCCTCCTCCGGGAGTGCGCTCACAACAGACGCCACGCTTGCGCTCCTGAGCCGCATAGACATGGTCATCGAGTTCTGAGGAGTCACGGTCGGGGAAGCCCCGGTGATATGGATGTGGGGGATGGACCCGAGGCGGCGGGTGATGGACGCGTTGCGCTGCGGGCGATTGGCACTGTCGGCCGGGCGAGGGAGCTGGGCCTTGGGAGCCTCGTCGTCTTCGTTGAAGACAATGTGGATTCCCTCGCCTGTCGCGCTGACGCTAACGACTGCCTTGGAGCCTAGGTTGGCGAGCTCGCGTTGTTGGGCCAGCGCGCGGATGGATGGTGATTGAGAGAGCGGCTCGCGCTCCTCGAAAGCCAGGAGGGTCTGCGGCTGGTACGTCGCGTGCGCTTTCATGCGCTGCTCGCGAGCCTTGGTGAGGCGAAGACCGTAACGACCGGGCTTGGGGCTGGACATGATGCTGCTGTTTGGATGGGTGAGTGGGGGATGAAGAGTAGAGATAAGACGAGAACGGGTGATGAGTGAGGATAGTAGAGCCGCATGTCTTTCAGTCTTTATACGTGCTCCTCTATGCCACCGCTTGGCCATTGACCGAAAACCGCTTCTGCATGTGGCCAGTCTTTGTTCAAGCGCGACGCGTGTCGGACCACGAGTCCAGGACTTGTCCATACCAGTCATACTATTGTACCTCTTTGTTTTGCTGCAACCACAGGACTGGGATATTTCCATAGCGATCAGTACGCCACACGGAGTCAGTCCAAGATGCGTTGCCAGCATACCCTCATGAAGGTCTCGGACGACATTCGATTCGGGAAGGGCGCTTGTCATTGAGAAGATCAGGAACGGTGTGGCGCGATCAATATACTTCCGCTGTGGTTTTGTCTGGGCGATACCTGCCCGAAGCGGTTGAACATGGTCCGTCTTTTGCGCGCCCGTGGACGTTGGCAGCAAGGTTCGCTACGTAGCTATGTCGTCCGAACAGCGGTCACAGGCACGGCGACAACATACGTATGTATGGTCTGAGGGCTTCGCAGGCGTATGAATGTTTGGTGACATGTATAGGAACTATGCAGGGAGCTTTTCATAGCCGGGGAACTTCTGAAATCATAACCCTTGATGAAGCAGCATTCATGGCTCGCGTAAGGGGGCGGCTGGGAACGCGTAAACTATTCATAAGATTCACACTTGGCCCGGAATAGGGCCTTCCTTCCCTCTGCCAGCTGACGGATTCTAGAACGGCCCTCCACATTGCGCCCTCGCGCGACACATGTACACTATACACGGCACATGCAGGACCAACGGCCGTATGTAAGCAAAGGCGGCGGGGCAGTATACAGACCGGGACGACCGACGAGATTGATATCAAAATCATCAAATTGGCCAGAGCCAGGGTCTTGTGCTGACGTGACATGGAGGTGGGAAACGAATGGGGACTAAGATGGGAACGCCCGATAAGGGAGTCGTTATACCGCGTCTGGGTTTGAAAAGTACGCAAATTTGACGTTTCGGAATAGATGATTGACAGGTTACGAGCCCGAGCCCGCTCGGAGTGGTTGTTGCCCATTCGTTTCGGAAGATTGGGTAAAACGCAAACGCCAAGCCCAAGCGTAAAGTCTCTGCTCCCCCGAACCCTGCGTACGGTAGAGCACTATCTATCCGGCGATAACTCAAAGGAGGGAAGGAAGTGTGTATCATATGGCCTGCACCCCAGCGAGCGGGTCGTGTGAGCTCGGGACGACTGTAGATGATGATTCGATCGCGAGTGAACTAGTAACGAATCTCCGGATGCAGATTGCGAAGCCCGCGTAACTGAGAGTGACCCTTTCACCTTCAAAACCGGTACCACGTGTTCCGATTCGAGCCGTTCTGTTTATCCATCACCCCTAGCGTCATCCACTAAGCTTATTGAAGGGAAGACATAGATATATGTGAAGTGACGTGAAGATACACAACTTTTTCCCCCGCCCCCCGACCACCATCATCAACGATGTCCGCGACGCAAACGCCACTGGACCCGTTCGTGATGTACACGCGCGCCGCCGACGCGCGTCCCTCCGCCGTCGACGCCTCGCGCTGGGCGGACTGGCAACTCTGGAAGCAGACCGCCGTGGCGGCCACTGCCGAGGTAAATGATGTTCTCACTACATTCCGCGCACCGAATTCCCCGTTTGCTGACGGACTTGTTTCATCGCTCTGCCTCGCGCCGGCCACCCTCCTCCCGCTGTATTTGATATGTGCCGCTCCACACTATAAGTATAAGCGCGCTGTCGAGCGCACGGACCCCGCCACCATCCCGGAAGACGTGTGGCAAAAGGCGGCGGAAGCGGACAAGGCGATGGAGGAAGGCCACCAGAGCTACGCGACGCTCGAGAAGCTGATCAACGAGGCCGGGAAGCTGCAGACCGACGCGGCGCGGGCAGCCCAGCAGTTCGCGAATGTCCAAGCGGCGATGCAGGCTCCGACGAACCTGAACACGAACGGTCATGTCACTCCAGCCGCCCATGTGAGTTTGTTGATCAAATAGAAGCGCGATGGGAGAGCGATGGGAGGCGCGCACACGAGGTGGTGTCCTGATTGTCGTTACGCTTCACAGCCGCTGCCGTCCTCTGCGCACGCGACAATGTCCGCCTCCAGCGCCTCGTCGCCCGCGTCCACTGACACGGTGACCAACGGCAGTGCCGCCCCCGCGCAGCTGCCTAATGTGCGCCGACCTTCTCTTGTCTGATCTGTCTCATCCGCGAAGCACCCTTTTCTCACGCGCCTCTCTTCTTCCCGCCGGCACAGGTTCCACAACCAACGCAGGCCGTCGCCATCTCAAAGGTACGACTGGCCTCTCCTCGTGTTGCAATTGTGGCTCATGCTCGATGCAGCCCGGCGCCTCACCCCATGTGAATAACCCCGTGTGCGACAACTGCCGCCTCGCGGGCAACGTGATCTGCGTGCGCGCCGCCCACCCGCATCACCGCCGGTGCACGTACTGCTACGAGAACGACACCCGCTGCAGCTTCAAAGAGTCCAAGGCCGCCGCCGCCGCCGAAAGCGGCGAACCGTTGCAGCAACGCAAGCCCCGGGCCTCGCAGCAGCCCGTCGCCGTGCCCGTCCAGCAGCATCAGCCCTCGGCTATCCCCGTCCAGAACGCGCCGGCGCCTCCCGCGTCCGCCCCGCCGATGGGACGGCCGAAGCGCAAGCGCGAGCCCGGCGCCAGCGACGACAGCGACGAGGAGATGGGCCAGCCGAATCGGCGGTATACCCCGCCCGCTCCCCCGTTCGCCGCGGCCGTGCCCATGGGAGTGCAGTCTTACGGACAGATGTCCCAGCCTCAACCCCAGGTACAGTACCAGCCGCAGGTGCACTATCACCAGCAGCCCGTACAATACCAGCCGCCGGCCCAGCGTCGTGCGCCGACGACGGTCCCCGAGCGTCGCGGGTCTCAGGCTATGACCAGCATGCCTCCGCCGCGGGCGAACGGGCACAATAACGGGGAACTGCAAAAGCGGGTCGGAAACGCGCAGAACCTGATACGCACCATCGGGTTCTTGTTCACGCAGCTGGACGACGAGCTGGGCGGGATTGCGGACGCTCTTGCAGATGATGTTTGAGCAGCAGTAGCAGCGCTCGTTAATGTATTGTGTGCATCATGGAATGTCTCTTCGGTCTGGCTGTTACGAGTATCTATTGCGATCGTGTCTATGTATTTTACCCTATGTGTCACCCCGCTCTCTCTGCGAAAATGATACCAGTCGTTTTGTTCGCGAGGACGGGATGTTGAAGTTGAGAACTGCGGAACACGGTCGACTGATATATTTGGACGTGTTGACGCGACGGGCCAGCACACCGGGCAGCTGTCCACGTTCTCGCAACCAACTCCCATCGCCCGTCCGGTCCCGTGCAGTACCCACCGTAGCCCCTCCTTCCTTCCTCCTCTTATCTTCTATCTCCTATGGGCTCCAGCACATCGACGCTTTCGGTCGCAGTCGCCATTGTCGGTGCGGTCGGCTATGGCGTGTACCAATACACCCACCCCGACGCGTCTGCCTCTGCGCCCGCACCGGCACCAGCCATCGCACAGGGCAAGATAGCGGGCAGCAAGAAGAAGGGCAAGTCGACTGCCATAGTCGCGCCGCAGCCCACGCCCGCCGTCGTCGGCCTGCCGCCCGTGACGGCGGTGCCGAGCATCCCGGGCGAGTTCGACTCTGGGAGCGACGCGCCCGGTGCCGGCGGCAAGGCGAAGAAGCCGAAGAAGAAGAAGGGCGCGGCGGCGAAGAAGGCGAGCGCGCTGACGGCCTCTGAGGCGGACGCGACGTCCGAGGCCGACAGCGTGGCCCCGCCGCCCGCGCCCGCGCCCAAGAAGAAGAAGTCGAAATCAAAGGCGGCGCCGGCGGAGGCGGTGCCTTCTGTGCCGGCTCCGGCTGCTGCTGCCGGCGATGCGGAGGCGTGGACGCGGGTGGAGAGTAAGAAGGGCAAGAAGAGCGCTGTGGCTACGCCTACGGGCGAGAAGACGCCCGTCGTGGCTGCTCCCTTGGCTGTGGAGGTGCCCGAGGCAAGCGTGACGACTACTACTGGGTCGAGCAACTCGCCTGTGACTGAGCGCACGACGGACGAGGAGCCAGCACGGTTTGTGTGTTTCACTCTAGTTCATGAACTTCGTACTAATACACTCAATGCTTATAGGGAACCGGAACAGCCTGCGGCCGAGTCCAAGGTGAAGCCTGCACCCGGTGAACAACCCGCAAAGGGCTTCACCTGGGAAGACTACGAAGGCGTAGACGCAGACGCCGACTCTGACTGGGGCGTCGTCTCGTCCAAGAAACCACGTACGTACCAACCCACCTGTCCACCTCATGCATCAAGTATCTGACGTATAAACACAACACACAGGCCGCAAGACGGACGACGACGGATGGACGACCGTGCCCTCGCGCTCGCGGCCCGCCTCGGCCGCAGGCGCCAACAAGCCCGGCCCAGCGCACTCCGAGAGCGACGAGCCGACGAAGAAGCAGCGGCAGAACGCGGCCAAGCGTGATGCGCAGAAGGCCGCGAAGGAAGAGGCCGAGCGCGAGCGGCTTGCAAGGCTCGCGAAACACAAGCGCGAGCTCGAACGCGTGCGGTCGGAACAGTTCATCTGAGCTGTGCAATCATACCTCGTGTGATGTGCGTGGGCGAGGGCGAGGGCAGCTGTAGCTGTAGAGTGCTTGGAACATAAACCTCGAAGTAGGATTCGGTTAATTCGCTACCACTTAATTTCCCGTTGCATTTTCTTGATTCATTTACATATGCGGAGAGCATGTATGCGGCGCGCATGCCGTAGACCTCATTATATCCATCCATTGTTTGTCTATGCTCTTTACATGCGTGTCTAGCTACGGTAGTCGCCGTTGATGCGCACGTATTCCTGCAAGCAGTCAGCATAGCACTTCGTCAGAGGAGATGAGGAAGGTGCACGTACGTAGCTGTAATCGCAAGTCCAGAACTTGGCGCTCTCGCTCCCAGCACCAAGCTCGATCCGAATCTCCACATCCTCCTCACTCAAGATCTCCTTCGCGCGGACCTCATCGACATTCTCCGGCTCTCCGTTCGTCAACAACGGCAGGTTCTTCGAGCCGTCGGCCGGAACGAGCGATACTGATACCCGAGTGGGGTCCAAGGGCTTGCTCAGAGGGATAGAACCAGTAGCGGCGAGAACACGTCCCCAGTTCGCGTCTTCGCCGTACAGAGCGGTCTTGACGAGCGGGCTCGTGGCTACGCGTGACGCGACGGCGTGGGCGTCTTCGTACGTCGCGCCACCCTCTACGCTTAGCGTTACGAACTTCGTCGCGCCCTCTCCATCCCTTGCAACAAGCTGTGCGAGCTCGGACATAACGCCAGTAAGCGCCTCGGTGAACTTCTCGAACGCCTCTCCGGAAGAAGCCTCGATCTCGGGCATATCCGTAGGTGCAGCAGCGCCGTTGGCAAACAGCGCGACGGTATCGTTCGTGCTCATATCGCCGTCGACGGAAATCGAGTTAAACGACCTATCGCTCGCGCGCTGCAAAGCCGCCTGCAAGCCCTCAGGCGAGACCGGCGCGTCCGTCGCGATCACACACAGCAGCGTCGCATGCAACGGCCCGCTCTTCCTCGGATTCGGCGCGACGAGTTTGGGGTGGATCATCCCCGCCCCTTTGCTCACGCCCGCGATCCGGAACGTAGCCCCGCCGATATCGAACGTCGACGCGCGCAGCTTCGGGAACGTGTCGGTCGTCATGAACGCGCGCGCGACGGCGTCCCAGTGGTCCGGGCCCGAGCCGGCGTGCGGTGCCGAGGCGGCGATGCCGGCGAGGATTTTGGAGATGGGGAGCGGTTGGCCGATGACGCCTGTGGACATTACTAGTGCGTCGGGTTCGGAGGATGGGGATGGGGATGGGAGGAGAGCGTGCACGGCGTCGACCATCGCCTGGGCGTCTTTGAGTCCTTGGGCGCCCGTGACGGCGTTCGCGCATCCGGAGTTTACGACGAGTGCCCGCGCGCGGCCGGATGTGCGCGCGAGGACTCGTTCGCTGACGACGACGGGCGCGGCGCGGAAGGCGTTGGCTGTGAAGACGGCTGCTGCGCTCGTGGGGCGCGGGGAGGTGCTGAGGAGGACAGCGAGGTCGGGGGCACCGGCTTTTTTCTTTATGCCGGCGTGCGTGCCGGAGAGGGTGTAGCCGTGCGGGAGGGAGGATGGGGGGATCGATTTGTGCAGGTGCGCTTTGGAGGGGGTTGCTTTGGCTGTGAATGTTGTGGTGGCGGAGGAGGTGGAGGAAAGGCGTTTGAAGATGCGGGTGGACATGGTTGGTAGGTGCGCCAGTGCGCGCTTTTGGCTAGGGAGAGCAGAGATATATGAGGCTAGATGGCAGCGAGCACCAGAAGACAGACAGTATAATGAACAGCGAAGCTTTCAGAACACCGGGACTAAACACCACAGTCTCAGATGATGAGCTGAGCCTACACTAGCAACCCGCTAGATTAGTAGACGGTGGTGGAGGTCAGAGACAACCTGTGTGGCGGAGGGCGGAAAGCTCTCAGTCGTTTTGATCAATTGCCGGAGGATAACCGGGAAGGTTGATTACGTTCGGCCGACTGGTTGGCGTAAAGCACTCGAAGTTCAGAATGTCCTCAATGCGTGGTATATGCCAGGCTCTGGGTATACTTTAATACTGACCACCGTCGTATCCTTGTAGATAGCTTGAGACTATGATGACGGCGCAAGTTGAAGAGGCAGTATGGCTACCGGCGGAGGTATCGGCCGAACTCGCGTGGAAGCCTAAGACGCGAGTGGCACAAAGACCGACGGCTCAAAGTTACAGTAGACTTCCATAGCTCTGAACTACGGTGCAACTGGGGCGTTATCGATTCACTCATAGGCACACGAGATACGTCGGCTGCCTACTACCCAAACAGACCTGCGTGACAAACAGAACTGCGTGAAGACAGCGTCCACTATTGATCATAGCGAAGATGTGTGGTTATGAGAATGGGGGAGTACTGCAAAATATGGCTATACTGCGCGGTCACTTATGGAGACGGATACCACATGCACACAGTTGAGCCTACGATTGTGAGCTCGAGGCGGAGCTAGATCAACGGTACGGTGTTCGATACAAGTGGTATGGGTGGCCTGGGTACGGCTGATTTAGGTGGTGTGGCTGACATGTTTGGTGCCACATTGGCAGGCGCAGAGATGATGGTGAAAATGCCAGAGGCGATGCATGCTTCTTTCTGTACGAGCCTAGACTTGTATGGGTCTTATTGGTGATCTAAATGCTCCTTCGACTCCGGCTTTGTGGCATGGTTCTTTAGCCTTGGCCCAACATCAGTCACACCCGATATGGGCGCTGCAGAGAGCCCGAGAGCGAGGAAGTACGCGTCCGTATCCATGCTTGTCACATACGGTGTGGTCATTCTAGTTCTCTGCTTGTATGGGCCTGAGATCATATACCGCTCAACCAATGCATACACATTCAAGTTTAGACCGTCGTATCTAACTGACCTCTTGGTCCATCCCTACTGCCGGATGTGCGCACGCCGTCCTGGCACGTGTCGGCCCTACCTCTGCGGATACACTGTTGACATGGGCGAGTGTACCCACACTTCACCTTCCTGTTACGGCAATTTGTGCACTGTAACAACACAGCTTAAATGAGCTGGATTAGATAACCAGAATAATGGACGCACGGCGTTTTTGCATCTCAGCCGTTTTATCATAGACTGCGAAGAGTCCAGGAGCTTCTCTAATGTAATGAATCAGATCGAGGCGCCCATGGGTGAAGATGGGAGAACGTACGGGAAGGCGCTGTCTCGGCCGCGCTGGAGGTGGTGGGTGGCTCTTGATCCGGGGAACGGACTGTTTCCGTATCAGGGCATGAGTTGGGGAAATGAGGCTGCGTCGAGTGCGAGAGCGGCAGACCATGCCCCGAGGATTCTGAGGCAATTGCGGCCAGGATCACCTCAAGAATCGAGGGCATGGACGCAGACTCGGTGGACGACGATTTCTCCGACATCTGAGGTGGTCTTGATGTAGGTTCGAATAGCAGCGATGAGAGGTGACTTCCTATATAAAGCGGTGAGCAAAAGTAAAACAAAGAGCGACGTGAGTCATATGGGAAACGAGGAAGACCTTTGGGCGTGAATCGTGATGGACAGGCAGAAGGCAGGTTGCCTCGTTGCACGTCCAGTCGACCTTCTCCTCTTATGCCGCTCGGAAAGGTCCGGACGTAACAGCCAGTTTTGGACGACTCTCACGAGTGGTAACGTACGAGGTGTATGTGTTTAGTACGGGGTGTTGACTGGTACGTCCCACTCCTGCAGCTGGCACCGTATGAGGGAAACAAAGTCATCATCGAGGCTCTGTCCACGGCCCTTAGTTCGATGGCCTACCACAACGAGCCTTTCGCCTCTTCTATCACTGGTGCAGGAAAGAAGACCATGGCAGTGAAGATTTCTCCAACGGGCGCTCATCGAAGCCACAATATCATTTCGACAGCTTCACACGTGGCTTTTTGGATGCAGGCGCTCCTCTTAGTCGACCATGACGCGCAGATGGCCGGTCTGAGTAGAACGCATAGTAAGCATACAGCGCAGCCCGTTTGTTGCATGGCGAGTTGCACTGACTGGAGCGTCGCAGTGACGGTAAGAGGCAAGATCTAATGACATCGGGCCGAAAGTTCGCCGCTCGCGTGGCAGACGAGTGGCACAGAGCCCGCGCGGCACCGAGCTTGGAAGCAACTTCGATGACTCTGGATGCAGCGCCGTAGCTTCATGCAGGACCACCACTATCACAAACCGTGGTCGAATACCTACTGCGCTCTACTCTGAGAGACCTCCCGTATCCCATCTGTCTGAACTCGGTTGGCTCGCCTGAACACCGTATTGCATCACTCAGGACTCGGGCTCTCCAATTTACTGCTACTTCGACAATTATTTTTCTCTCCCAAATACCCTCAGACCTATAGATTCTATCAACTGGATTTGGTACTTGCCATGTCTTCCGACGAAGCAGACACTCCTCGATCTCACAATCCCACTAAGCCGCCTGCGGCCAAGAAGCAACGCGTGCCGCGTGTGGGTCTTGGTGGGTATCTTAGTCATGGAAGATGTCGAGACTGGAGCTCATGCTTGACGGCTTGCAGCGTGCGATAGATGTAGGAAACGCAAGATCAAGTGTGAGTGGCTTGCGTGGCTGCGTTAGCATTCACTCATCGAGCTGCTTGGAGGTAGGCAACGGTACCATCGGCGGGGAAAAGTGTGTCTACTGTGTACAACTCGGCTCGACTTGCGAGTACAAGCATGCTATGCAAAAGTTTCAAGTTGGGTACGCTTCAAAGATGCAACTCAGTGTAATGTTTGTGACTTCTCATCGCGGCGTCTAGATACGTGAAGGCTTTGGAGAATCAAATCCTTCGGTTGAATAGTGTTCTTCGTCGAGTAAGTACGACTTGCCTCCGGTACACTCAACGCTTCTGAAGCTCGCAGTTTAGCTGCATCCCGACGACGATTTCTCCAGCGAAGTTGGTGCCTCGCTCACGGAGGATAACTGGGATACGGAAGGCTTCATAAACGAAGGCGATCCCTCGTCCGCAGACCAGGCGCCGAGTTTGTTTGTCTCGACACAGACATCGACTGCGCCGCCTCCCAGGGCTCAACCTCTCGTCAAGGCGGAAGAGGCATCAGATGTGGAGGGTGATGAAGCGATGAAACTGAGTGATCTAACGGACGAGTTCCAACACTTGACTCTCAGGACGTACCTTGGACCTCATTCGAGCGGGGCACTCCTCGACACCGCACTTAACATAACGTTCGAACGAACTGGTGCGCGTCTATCGCAGAGCGACCTCTCACGGTTCGGAAGGCCAATATTTTGGAGGTTCAACTCTGTGAGTGCTCAGAGTGGCTGTGCCTTCACGCCATACAAGCTGTAGCTAATGAATTGATCAGTGGGAGTACCTGACTAACCGCGTCTCGCTCGATTTCCCTCCACCGGATCTCTTCCGTTCGCTCGTGGACCTCTATTTCGAACACCAAAACCTGTACATGCCCATCCTTCATCGGCCCACCTTCGAACGACACCTTGCTGCACGCGTATATGATACTGACATCTCATTCGGTTTCCTCGTGATGCAAGTTTGCGCAAACGGTGCTCGCTACAGTGACGACCCCCGAGTCTTACTGCCCGGAGCCGGTACGCAGTCGGCTGGCTGGAAATGGTTCGATCAAGTTCGCGGGCATTCGTCCATGCACAACGGTACATCGCGTCTTTTCGACCTTCAGTCTATAAGCGTGCGTCATTACTTTATGTTCAACTAGTATTGTGCTTACATAGTGCGTTGCTAGCTCGCCACGGTGTACCTCATGGGGTGTTCGGCGATACAAGCAGCTTGGGTGTGGTGTGGTCATGGCATACGTCTCGCTCAAGACGTCGGCGCGCACAAGAAGAAGACCTATAGCGCTGTTCCGAATGCTGTGGACGAACAGTTCAAACGCGCATTCTGGTAGGCGTGTCCTTTGTCTCCAGAGTGATCGGCTCTAACGGTGGCGAAGGGTTCTCGTTTCACTAGACAAGCATCTTAGCGCGTCGATGGCAAGACCGTGTGCGACCACAGATGAAAAGTTCATGTTCACTCCTGTGACGTATCCTCGAGTCCTAATGCCATATGTTAGCTTTGATCTCGACTTCCCAATTGCGTGTGACGACGAGTACTGGGAACACCCTGATCTTTCACATGCATTCAGACAGCCCGAGGGTCTGCCATCACGTTTGGATGTCTTTGTGCATTACCTCAAGCTCTATACGACTGTGTCAAAGGGCATAAATCTGATAGTAAGTCTACCACCCGGTTTTGCTCTTTTCTCAAAGACTCTGTCTCAATATGCGTCTTGACAGTTCGCCAGTCCCAAGGGTCGAGCTTTGCTTGGAGCCGAGGACGGTCGCTGGGAACAACCAACTGTCGCGGATCTTGACTCGCGCTTGAATACGTGGACCGATAACGTGCCTACTCATCGTATGCTTCTTTGACCATAGTATCGGAGTATATGTTGATTGTGCAATCTCTAGTACGCTGGGATCCTGGTGGTATTGATGATGTGTCTCTATTGCAGTCGGCGCATCTCTGGAGTCGCTTCCACAGCATGCAGATCACTCTGCACCGCCCTTTCATTGCTCCGCGAGCAGGTACCCCGAAGGGAGTCACAGAAGAGCTCGGCTTCCCTTCGTGGTCGATATGTCTAAGCGCCGCACGGTCTACAGTGCGCATCATCGAGTGCATAGAATCCCGCTTTCCGGGACGACTCTTCCCTCTGATGCACGTGAGCAATCTCAGCCTTTTCTCCTGAGCCACGAGTATAGCGTACTCATCATCTCTGACAGAAACCGGTGTACGAGGCAGGTATGATGCTCTTCCTGGGTATATGGGGATCGAAGAAGTTCGGTGTTGCGCCCAGAGTTGAGGAGGATCTGCAAGGCATATACTCCTGCGAGCGTTTCCTCGAGACGCTTGAGACGCGCATACATCCCGCGGGACGGCACAGGTATGCACCCATGCGCGCTCAACTCCTCGAGTGCGAGTGTTAACAAGTCGCGCAGAGATGTCATCAAGGCTCTGCTATCGCTCGTCGATGTACCAGTATCATCTCAATCTGGCGTGCAGAAGCGCTCGCTGGACGACTATCATGCGGATGGGGGATTTCCTGCGGAGAGTACACAGGATTCCTCGGGGACTCTGGCTTCTCTGGACGACTGGTTCGCTGGAGCTCAGTATGGTTCTATGCAACCCTCGCTACAACATCTATTTGGATCGATCACCGATCCCGCGAATGGAGAAGGGGCCGGTGGCGCGGATATTATGAACGGAATCCCGGACCCGCTGTTTGCACCGGTGGGCTCTGAACCATATGGAACCGAGCACTCGTTGCCGCTGCAAGGATGGGATATGGGTAACACAGTGCCATATAACTTCGAGAATGGCTCCAACTCTATATTCGATGCATAGATGAAGTAGTATAGTGCCTGGATAACGCAAAGAATACACTCTGTTACGCCGAAGCATCGTCTAACCCAGACAACCCGAGGCGGATGATACCATCGCGCGAGTCCAACCGCGCAAAGTCCCTTCCAGCAGGGTCGCCAATAGCTAGGTGTAGCTCTTTCTCGCCTCGCTCACGTACGACACGTGCGCGAGCGGCGAGACCGCGAAGGATGTCCGTCCGGCCGTGTTTAGTCGTAAGCTCGACGGTACCGTTGAAGTTCAAAGGAAGGATAACGGTTGTGGAGCCACGTCGGGAGGAGGTGTAGACTGAGAGTGGGATAGCGGGTCTCTTCTCCGCCTGAGGTAGCAAAGATATGTGTCAGCTTGGATGGGCTCCGAGGGGTAGCGACGAAACGGCGTACAATGTCGAGGTATATGTTCCCTCGCCGCGCGTCAGCGCATATGAGCGTCGACTCGGCATCAATCGAGCGGCCTGAAAGAGGTGTGGAGCCCCGTATGAGCAGACGAACAATGATGTTCTCGCGGCGGGAAGCGAGAGCAACAGTAGGTGTAGCTCTCTTCTTCAGCGCCCGCTTCGCGACCTTGGGTAGCCGCGGTTCGCGGTCGGGGTAGAATATCTCTGGCGCGGCGGGGTCCAAGATGAAAGTATCGGAGATCGCATCGCGTCTTCTAGAGATGTAGACTTTGCTTGTGGTCGGTACGGAAGTCGCCTCTGTCACCGGTGGCGGAGGGAGGGGTGTGGTCTGGGGTTGCGGATGTGTGGGTACTGAAGACTTCGATGATTCTGAGGATGAAAGCGAGGGCGAGCGTTCGAGGGTATAGGCCGGTGGTGGGCCAGTTGATCCGGCAGGCTGAGGCGGGGTGTAGCTGAGAGCAATCGGCCGCTTGTGATCCATTGTAGCGGTGAAAATGGTGTTAGTGGGAGCGGGATTAACCCAAGATTCGAGGCCTTAAGTAGTCGCATACGAGGCAGAATAAAGTGCGGATGCAGTGTGATGAGTCTGTCAGGCTATGACTGGAATTCCGAAGCCAGCTGCAGGCGGGGGGTATGAGGGACGGAGTACGTGTGAACGACACGGAGTAAAGTCCGTTACCGCAAGCAGAAGTTTGAGACAGGATCTGCACCAACCAGATCAACGAAATTGATGGGCGCCGTCGACAACTGTCCACTGGAGGGTGGGTATTTTTGCGGAAGAGAAATACGACATCACTCAATCAATACTTGCACCAAGTCAGTGAAGAGCATGTTTTCCATTGCGACAGATTTTGTAGGATCGTGATGGACGGAACCAGAAAAAGACATTGGCGCGTCGACGCGTTTATTCGGGGCGGGTGTCTCCGGGCCGGTTCGGCCGGCGCGTGGCCGCTCAGCCCGCCTCGGATTCTGCGCGCCTCGCTCCCCATCGCCGCCCGCAACCGCCCCGACAGCAAGATCTAGCCATGGTACGTCTCTATGCTGTCCGGCTGGGCATTGAGGTCGTATATCCGCGCGCTGGAGCAGGAAAGACTGGAGGAATGAGCTGGATGGGTTGAAGGGAGGACGGATGAGCCTTGCGCGCGGAGACCTTTTGCCCGGCCTTTCCTCGATTTGAATACTCTTACTGACTTTCTTATGTTACAGGGTTCCACACGGTGTGTATTTTTACAATTGCGACCATCGAGGAAGGGCTGTGCTGGTTGGAAGTAGTTGGATATGCGGGGAGGGGAATACGTGGTCGGGCTACGCGGAATAATGGGCAGGATTGCTGACTCGACGTGCAGACTCTACAGCAAGGGCCGCGTCCTCGGCCACAAGCGCGGCAAGCGCAACACCCACCCCAACACCTCTCTTCTCCAGATCGAGGGCGTCGCCAACAAGGAGGACGCTCAGTTCTACCTCGGCAAGGTCCGTCCTCTCCCTCGACCATTTTACATTATATCTAAACATTCTCCAGCGCGTTGCATACGTCTACCGCGCCAAGAGCGAGGTCCGTGGCTCGAAGATCCGCGTCATCTGGGGTCGTGTCACCCGCCCGCACGGCAACGGCGGTGTCGTCAAGTCAAAATTCAGGTCAAACCTGCCCCCGCACGCCTTTGGCGCGTCTGTCCGCATCGTACGTTCTTTCCCTTCTATGCTGGTACACAAGCTGGAGCTAACGAAAACCTATACAGATGCTGTACCCCTCGAACATCTAAGCCACTGTATCACCCTCTCACCACGCTGTCTTGTTCCTTCATTCGCTCGCCGTCATCGTCTGCACTCCCTACGTACAGCATACGCAATATGACACGCCACATGCCGCATGCAATATTATCTGTTGGGAACCGTTCGCTCGGTTTGCCTAGACTATGGCTTTGATCTCATCGTTCGTGTGCCATGCTTCCTGTCGTCAATGAAGAGGGCTGGGATCAAAGTGCTTGCGGCACTGTTGTTAATGAAAAGTCGGAGTTGTGTCTACGTTGCTTCCAGTTCAGGCGAAGTGCCTCGGATGGTCACAGATCAACTACCTACATCTTCAATTGCGGCCCGTGTTCGTGACGAAGACCCTCGGTTGAGCAAGTACCAGTTGGAGCCATGCATGTCGCTACGCGGTCGATACATCTCAAAGACGAAGGGGTTTGCCGGATATTGCGAGTAGGTAATAGCATGAGATGAACTTGAGGAGTCGACGGCCGCCGTGGACTCAGTAAGCCTTATCCGGATCGTCTCTACAACTTTGAAAATGTCGTTGCAGGCGAAGATACCGCGCTCGGAGTGAACATTCTTCCCTCGCGAAACATGGTGGATTTCGCTCTCCTGACACCGATGTATCGATCTCAACACGACGAAGTTTGACTGTTGTATGACATTGGTATGGCACAGCGCTATTCCAGAGCAAGCATAGGTGTCCGTTGAGGAATGTTGATGAGATCCCGGGGGATGAGTAGAAATACAAGTGGTGACCGGTCTGCCAGAGCAGGCCCAGATGGTATGGTGATCCGTGGTATGATGATGCTGGATATGGTAACGACAATGAGAGATGATAGAGGGAACGATATAAACTGTCATGTTCCCGGAGGGCCACAAATTAGACACGGTCGTGTGTCTTTCAGTACTGGTGGACTTGTGGTCGTCGCGTTCGCAATGAAGTCGGTGCTCTCGTAGTAACCGTACTCGAACGCGGACGCAGAGTAGTGAGTGCGGTAGTAATGGAACGAGAGCAACGGCAACACCATCCTGAAGCACGTTCGCTAGCATTCTCAATCGCAGAGTGTGGACGACATACATGATCACTATCAGCAGAATAAACGCCATGCCCATCCCTCCCAGATTCATCACACCTCTTCGCGTCCAGATGGTGCCTGACGCATCCAAATCCTGCGTATCCAACTCCGGGTCATGCAGCTCATCGTCGCCCTCCTCGTATTCCTTCGTTAAGTGGTCGGCCCATGTAGCGTAGTCCGGCGTTCGATAGTACTACATGGCTACTCGTTAGTGAATCATGGCCAGAGCTCGAACTCGGAGCGACGCACAAGTATTGGAATACTGTCAAACGATGCCCGGGGTGAAGGTAGAGGCGATGTAATAGGCGGCGCTAGCAGGTATGCTGTCTCGACGTCGGGCCGAATATCCTCGTCGTCGTCTGAATCGAAGGCGGCGAGGCTGGATATGGACGGTTTGCTGTAGTGTGGTGTGTGGTAGAAGGATGGCATGGCGGAATGAGCGTGAGGGGCCTCGCAGAACCGGGCAAGGCTGAAGCAAATGGAAGGGGTAGAAGCGAGCAGACGGCAGACGGTGAGCAAGGCAGCGAAGGGGACCCCGAACTCTTTAGCCGAATCACGCAGCTAGAGCACCCTCGGAACATATACAATCAGGGACCGGCTCCGCACTGATATAGACTGCACATTGTCCAAGCTTCTTCCCGCCGTCGTGCGTGCACGGCTTCGACGATACCAGTGCTCTATTCAGAGCTGCCACGAAGTAGATCTGTACGACTCTGACAATTGCCGTTCCGAAGAAAGTGCCTGGGGAGACGTAACCATTCAGCGTACGTAGTGGGTTGTAACCAACTTCGCGACGCCCACATGAACCGCGTTGGAGGGCTCGTTGCGATGCTTCCATGCTGATGTAAGGGGATTATTTGCCTCGTGTGGGTATCTCTTCCTCTATACAGGCTACTTCAAAGACCAATGTCTGTCCCAAAGGCTCTACATGGGCAAGTCAAGGCACTTTGTACGCTGGACAACCTTCGCGGGACGTCACGAAAGGTTGGATTATTATCAGCTTATGGCCGTCTTGAACACGCAAAGGCAAACCGCAGCAGCCGATCTGATGAACATGAATAGAGGCAACGTGGTATTAATAATAATATGTACTAAGGTTAGGGTTAGCGCAATGAAGCGACCGAAAAAATGGCCCGCCCAGCCCGAAGGCCGGAGCGGGACAGGAAAATATTGAGACGGTGCATGAGCCGAAGCCCATACAAACCGCGGGTTCCCCCTGAGGACAGGGTCGCCGTGCTATGGGAGGCCCCCGCGGCCCACAACACACAGACGTGAAGGGCACTGTGCCATCAAGGTAAGTATGAAGATTTCAGGACGCGAACCGCGCGCAGGTCGTTCGCCGGGCTCGCGCACGGACCCGGACCAAGTCTTGTGATCGCGAGGCGCTGCTGCGCTCGACGCGGACGCGATAAAGTGGTCGTGTGCGCCTTGCCTCTTGCAGTCACCGCGACTATCCCTGGTGACAATAATAACAGGCCACTCTTGGTCTCTAGTAGAGCAAGAGAACGTCTGCCTGTACAAGGCAGTTGCCGCATGGGGAGTGCTATAGCGCTATACGTTCTGAGTTCGGACTGTCATGTTCTTCCTTGTGCGCTGGACTGTAGTCGCCAGTACAATATCTTCTCGCTGCTCGCGTCATTGTCATATAGATCTACCGTCGAAAAGCAGGTAGGCACGAAGAATTGCAATCAAGACAAGCATGATTACTATGAGGGCTACAAGCTACTATATCGATGAGCACCCTTACGATATCATATATGTCCAGAGATTGAGACGTAGATCAGAACCGTATCCAAGAGCATCTACTCTACCGGCCGAAATGCTTCTTCTCCAGGTATCGCAAGGGCGGGTAGCATACGAGAGTGATCGCGCCAGACATGAAGATTCCGACGTCGCCGCCGAACTCGCCAAACTTCGCCGCAATGGGACCGATATACCAAACCTGCAAGCGATCAGCATGGCAGCACTTGCATAAGAAGAAGGTCTTGAGTGATGTACCTGCGCCATGCCCGGGACGCCTCCAGCAAGGTAGCCCGCAAGAAGACTCGTAACAGCAGCGATACCAACGGGGAGCCCGGCCGGATTGTCCCACATGTTGAGGTCGTAGCCATCTTTGCGGCGGAAGTACTTGTCCTCGATGAGTAGAATCAGAGTGAATGAGATCGTCCAGTATCCAAGCATAGATACGAAGTCGTTGACAACCGCCGAGAGCGAATCCTTGCCCGCAATGGCGAGAACAGCGATGACAAGCGCATTGAGGAACGACCAGACAAAGCGAGGGACGGCGTGGAAGACGTGCCCAAGCAGTTGTAGAGAGAGACCATTTGAGTAGTTGATGGCGATCTAAGGGCATTGTCAGCCTTCGAGTTACTCATAGTAACGGGGGTCAACGTACGTTGTTGCCGATGACGGAGAAGGTGAGGATGACAAGGCAGAACTTGGACCATCCATTCGGGTGGTAGACCGCACGGAGAAGACCGCCGAGACCATGATCTTCATAAGCCTCGGCGTAGGGAGGGTACGCCACCGTGAGTGCAGCATTGCCGATAGCAGCGCCGGCGATGGTGGCGAAGACCGTGGGCAGTGTCACTCCGAACAGAGTGAGGAAGAAGACCTTCCAGGGCTTAGTCGCCGCAGGATACTGATATCGCGTCAGATCCCACTCCAGAATATCATGGTTGAACGACGAACTTGGCAGTAGTAATCCGACGTGATGCTACACCAGCCCGAGGAACTGGAGAAGCAGATGGCCATGAACGAGAGCCATTGGCCGGAAAACACCAGTCCAGCGTCACTACCGGGTGCCGTGGGGTGTATATGCGGCGCCGCTTGACCATAGAGAACGCCTTGGATGCAATGTCAGACGCAGAATTTGAGTCGCGCAAGAGACCGGGGTCTCACAGATGAGGATGAATGACACGATCCAGCTGTACTGGTGGGCGGTCAGCCAAATGGAGATCATCGCTCGTAGACCAGGCTTACCTTCTCGAACGTGTGGATCATCCTGAAACCGAAGATTGAAACGACGTATGAGATGATTGCTACGATCTATAGCAGCGTCTAAATTGACTGCGTATGGTGGTCACAAGACGAACGTACCACACAGCCGACGGATATGGTCATAGTGTAGTCGGAGACCGCTGATAAGATCTGACCCGCTAAAGGCAAAATGAGTGACTGCCTCCAAACATGCTTATGTCGCGATAAGCGTACTAGTGACAATGTTGACCACAGCGAAGCCTCCGCCGACGACAATATTCAAGATAGAGCACAGTTTAGCGCCCCAGAACCCAAAGGAGTACCTGTTGCCGCTCAGCGCGCATTCGACACAGCGGGAAAGAGACGGGCGCACCGACTAGTCGCGATTTGGCGAAGTCCAGTCTAAGGCATGTCAGAAGAGATAACCGCCACAGGGCGGGTGTGAAGTACCTTGGGGCCCAAGGTACCCGTGAATGCCGTGCACATTGCACCCAGGAAAGAGCCGACGACGATCGCAGAACATGACTGCCCGAATGTGAGGCCGAACTCGGGACCCAGAATACCAAGACTGCGAGCAGACGGTCAGATGGGCACGAACTTCGCAGAAGGGTGACGCACGGGATGGTGCCGACATGGCAAGTCATAGACCACCAGAGCCAGAACGTATTGAACAACTGCATCTCGTAAGCACATTGCCTCCGACGTCGACGGATAGACATACCGAAGGCGGTTGCTTATCTTCCTCCTTCACGCGGTCGATGCCCAACGACTCGACACCGAGCTTCTTGTCCATCCACTGCTCACCGCGCGTCAACCAGCGCAGAGGCGCGAATGCGTCCGCAAGCCGACGCGCTTTCTCGGCTTCGTCTACGGTGTGCACATCTGCGCGCGCAGAGTCCTTGTAACCTTTCTCCACATCCTTCTCTCCAGAACCGGCGGACCCGAGGGATTCCCTATCGGAGGACATGTTGTGCGTCTGCTTGAACAAATCCGATGAAGGACTGCAAGTTTAATCAGACGGGGTGCGTAGCCGTTGAGGGCAGTCGTGTGGACGCGAGGACGAAAGAAAAGCGAGATGTCGGAAGTGTCGTATATATACGGGGTGGGTTATCTCTTCGTGTGCCGTTAGCCGCCTGGATGCATCATCCCATGCGGTGGAGTTCAGATTCCGCGTCAACCCGCCGGAAAATTTGTATGCAAACGCATGGGGGCCGAGCGCGCTTTGGCAGATACGGACATCCGGTTGACAGTGCTATACAAACAAGGGCCAAATAGGCGCAATGTCAGGAAGGAAGAACCGGTCTATCGCAACGCCGTTGATTTGAAGCCCATTCTTCGCGCGCGGCTGCGCCGATAGCAGAAAGGCAAAGTACACAGTTCTGACGGTCCACGGCCGTAGAACGGCAAAGGCGCGGTCGAGGTACGTGCAGTGACCCGCATGCGCCACCGTGAAGGCCGTGCACAAGGCTAGAGGGAGGGCCGGGGGATAGGGAGAAGGAATCGCCGGCTTCGCCAACGGTCCAGCGGGAGACCGTCGTCGTGCGCACTAACTTCGAATCGTGTCATGAACGAGCACCAATGTGTCTTTTGCGTGACTTGAACTCTGCTAGTGTTCTGGTTCGTATGTGCATAGGTAATCCTGTAGACGACGCAGGAGGACACTTGTGGCGGCTCGGAACCAAGTTCTAAAAGTAGATGCACGATCAAAAGTGCCACGCGCTGCGCGCGGCAGTGTTCGCGCGCTGTTTTCGGTCATCTTGCAACTACTCACAACCATGACCCATGGCACTTTAAACAGTTTCTATCCCTAACAGCATCTCGAGCCAGTCCCTTGTTGCAGCTCTCGATTGCCAGAGCTGATGCAATGGATCATCATGAATAGCCAGTTATTCATCTCCTTTCACAGCGACAAACATCCTATCAAAACATAGATAACAGTTCCTGGAGGCCTGAGTGGTACGCGACCATTTCACCTTCACGTTCACCGGTTTATACCATAGAGAGAAAGATAGCCTTTAACGGGACCCAGGTCGGCAAGAGTCGCGTCCTCGAACTCTCCATCGACCGTCTGGCCGACGTTCTTCATGACTAGCATGTTACCCCGCCAATCATGAGGAGCATCGGGTACGAGAGCGCGTACACATCTATGCACAAACCACGTCAGTTCTGGTTGGTGCTGCGCTTGGATAATAGTGCAATGTGCACGTACTTATTGGAGCGCGATCCGTTGACAAGAAATTCGTCGTTGAAACCGAGCTGGAGGTATTGGCTGAGACGCCGCGAAGGCGGCCCAAATCGCTCGAACTCAATCCCGTAGAAACGACGGAAGGCGGATGCAGGCCCGATGAATTCTCCTCGGCGAACAAGGTGACACGTTGGTTCGGGGTAGTCGTCCTCTGGCTCTGCCACCTCGCATGCGACGTGCACGATCTCAGGGATTTCCGAGTCGGCAGGGAGAAGTATGCCTTTCCTGACGAGCGCTGCCCCGTGTGGTATACACGCCTGACGATGTTGCTTCCAATGCTGTCGAGGACGACTGCATTTCAGGATGCCTTTTGAAGGGACAAGCGCGCAGGGCCGTACCTTTTTCTGATGCTCTGCTGTGCAATATGCCGCCTGCTTGCACCTCGAGCATAGACTTTTTGCTTGAGTCCCACATACGCCGCACAACCCCTTATCTGGATCGTAGCATGAGCACCGACTTCTGAAGCATATGCGGTAGATAATGTACGAACCCGCCATACGTGAGATATCGAGGATTGGGTAACTTGGCCTCAGGGCGAGGAAAGCGTCAATGAGTGGACTAGTGGTCAGCACTCTATATACCGGGATCCCAATCGCTCATTGACGTGTGACAGCGCTACGCCGACTTCAATGATAGTTCTCCACGTGATGTAGGATCATCGAAGGCGACATGGTATTCGTACCCAGGGAGCCCAGTCATGTCCCATCTTCATAGGTCGTGAATGAGAGCAACCAGTGAGGGAGCGCTCAGTTGAGAGTGTCACTATGACAATATCTCACTGTTTGAGTCCCCAGACAGACGGAACGTATAATTAGCTTAAGAGTTCCCTGTGACATCGAGCTAACACCCGAACCAGAGGACGTTGTAAACATCGACAGCTCAGGGTTGCTCTCGCGGTGGGAGCAGAGGAACGAGGCACGCAAGCTTGTGATTGCGCGTGTGGGAGTTAGGGGCTCTAGTCTCTCTGATGTATGACCTGGAAATCAACGATCTCCATGCGATGACGCTCTGTACAGAACATTGGGGTACGCCTACGTGGACCTCCATCAAGTTGTATGAGTGGGATCGACGACGAGCTCGACGCCGTTTGCGGCACGAACGAAGGTGATGATGATCGTGGGCGGAAGCAGGCCGCATTGATAGCTGATGTCGGCGAATCCAGGGCACATTACGTCGAAGTGGGCATTTTTTGTTATGTAGCTTGCTGAGGAAAACACATGCCAATTCTCACCCCCAACGACTTGCTTGCGGCTGCTTCAAGTGCTTTGATTCTTGAATCCACGCTCTCATTCATAGCTGCTCTAACTCTCGCCGTCCCCTTACCCCGCGCATCGTAGCTTGACTCTGCGCCTGAGGTACCCGCAACTTTCTAATGGCCTCTGCTGCTGCTATGCCGCCTGCCCAACGCTCGATCGACGACGAAGATGAGAGCGTCCGGATCGCAGTTCGCGCTCTGGGTGACATGCGCTCTCGCGCGCTTGCATCTCAAGCTCAATCTGTCCCCTCATCCTGTGCGTTGAACAATGCCACCCAAAAGCTCGCGTCTGAGGAAACCCATGCAGCCATCAGCCCTACACCTGCGCTTTCCGTGACTTCTGGCTCGGTCATGACTTCGCCAGGACTTCCGTCACCTGCAACGCTCGCACCCGAGGACCTGGCTGCAGCAGGTCTTACGGAGCAGGATATCAATACCGCTGATCTAGTCTCCCGCTTGGGACACCTTCCGATCGTCAATACTGCTTTGCGCGCTTACGAACAGAGCAAGGCTAGTTCGCGAGTTGTCAAGGTGCGCCACAAGTTCATAGAACAATGGATGTGAACTTTGTCTGACGTTTCATTTGCAGTATGGCGCGGAAATGATGGAGTCGAGTGTGCGGACGATCTCGCGGCCAGTCATCAATCGACTACCCGTAGACCAGCTCGACGAGTTCGCCAGAAGGCAATTGGATAGGGTGAGTCTGCGAATCTCGCGTCTGCTTCATGCCGAGGAGACCGATCTGGACTTCAAATGATCGTATGGGTGTGTGCGCGAAATGGTCTCGTGCGCATACACTCTGTCGTCATTGTCCAAAAACGGCATTTGCTTTGCACGTCCCCGCCTGGCAGCTCTCGCGCCCATACATCCTCGAAGCCGAGTATCCACCGATCTGACACTTCCCGGTAGTTCGGTTATGGCTCGCCAAATGGCGCTGGTGGAAGGCGGCCGTCGTTCATGGCGGAAGAGGAGCGGGGAAGGGGTGAAGATCGCGCTGAGGGGAGCAGTACTGGGTGGCAGGGGACGCGCGATGTCTCGATGCGCCGCAACTCGGTTGAACGGGGGGAAGGGTCCGCGTTGGCAGATTCGCCTACCTCTGGTGCGTTCCGTCGGCAATTCGCCGGTCGCATGGTGCTGAGTATTCTATCAGATTCGAGGCATCCAGATCGAGTAGCCTCGCCCATGGTGGAAGAACGGACCACAAGTCCCGAGCGTCAGCAGCAAGTCGTGCAGCGCAGTCGTTGGCAGGCTATCGTTTCGGAAGCTGGTGGCATCAGTGCTGCCGTGAGCGAAGAGAGCATGCGCCGGTTGAAATACTGTTTGCAATGGCTACAGGTAAGTCAAGCTTTGTTGACCAGTGTATTTTTGTCGCTGATCCTGGCGCCCAGTATGCAACAGAACACATCGACGGCCAGATCTTGCTTATTCGCGAGTTCATGGACGCACTACAACCTCCCGCGGACTCTCCGTACGCGATCAATCCGCATGCGGTCATTACGCCAGAACAGATGCAACAGCTTGCGAATGTGAAACGAGACGTCGTCGATACCATTCGCCAGGTTGTCGATGTTGTGTCAAAGTATGCTGGTGGTGCACTCCCTGAACCTGCGCGTAATCGCGTACGCGGTTTCATACTGCACCTTCCGTCTGCGTGGGCGAGTGCAGCTCGGCGACAGGAGCACGTACAACCGCCTGTTCCTGTCGTTGCTTCAGGCTCCGCAACTGCTGCTCGTGGGCGTGGACAACGGCGGTCGGCACGCCGCGCCGAACCCATATCTCGTCCTGGATCGCCTACTGGCCTGACCAGCCGTGGGCATTCACGCCAGAGCAGCGGAGCAGCTCCTATCGCTGCTGCAGGTACTACACCTGGTGGCGCTCAGGCGGCCGCACAACGCATCCTGACCCTCGCGACCGAGAGTTTAGACATGATGCGGGGTGTGACTGGCGTGGTGAAGGATTCGCTTGATCGCGCCGACGCGTGGGTCGAGCGGCTGCGCGTAGTGGGAATCCAGCGTGGCCAAGAGCAGATCGAGGACGAGGGGACGAACGGACGTCCACCACCTTTGGGTCTCGATCTTTCAGCGCACCGCATTCCAGTTGGGGCGGGTGGACACTCGGCGGCAACAAGTGTAGCAAACTCACCTACGATTTCGTCTGCCGCCCTGAGTCCATTGCTACACCCGCACCCGCATGCGGACCATTACTTCGAGGGTCCCAGCAGCTTCAGTAATCTCAGTCTTTCTGGGACGACTGCGGCGGGCGGATCGGGTACCGTCACGCCCACCACGACCGTGGGTTTGGGCAAGAAGGGTCTGTTTGTAGATGGCGATGCGCCGCCACTATCTGCTCCTCCAAGCCGTCGCGGAAGCGCTGGACACTCCGAGACGCCTGTAGCTGTCATGGATGTCGATCGCCCTTGAGAGGTCCAGCGTCTATGCTTGGCGCCAGTACTGGTCTCTCGTGTATCTCGGATGCGGACGTTCGGCGCGTAAGCTGTACTTTCATTCATAATTTATCTGTGCTCTGCCTCTGTCTTTGTATATGATGCACTCACTCGCTCACTCTCGCCGGTTGACATCGCTGTTTCTATATCATGTATTTCTGGTCTTCTGCGCACAATCACACCTCTCTTCACATCCTATTCCGGAGTTCTGTGTGGCCTTGACTCCGAGCTACGTGCCATGTAAGAATGCTCGACTTCATGAGAATGATCAGCCTATCATGCACGCACCCATCACACGATTGAAGAAGCGTTGCGTATGGGCTCACGGACCCTGCTGACATTTGTCCTCTGACTACTCCGTGCGACGCAGATCCAGCTCCCGAGATGGCCTCCACGCTCAAGCGCTCCTCAGGACCCAGCAGACAGACGCCTCACGAGGGCCATGCGGCGGCGCCTGAACTCATCCTGAGCCGCGTACCACCTCGTCGTTTCATGTAACGCACGGGCAACTGTACTAGGCATCCTAGCCCCGACAGGAAAGCTGGTGGCTCATCGCCATATGTACTCTTGCCCCTGTGGCTGGCGGCTTGAAGGCGTGTTACGAGCGCAGTGCGCTTCGATGAGACTCACGCTCACGCGAAGAGGGAACTGGGGTGCTTAAGGCGCCGAGTCTCTCTTACCATATGGTGCACATGTATCACGCCGGGGGTACACGATCCGCGCTGAGAATCTGGGGGCATGACTGAGTTTGGGAAGACCCTTGTGTGTTCCGATACAAGTCAGCAGCGTCGGTGCAGATGATTGAAGTCAACTAGACGTGTACTGTCTGCCAAGGGAAGACGATAAGCTGGGAGATACAGAGAAGTGATAGATCCCGTCAAGCTCTTGAAGAAACGACAGTACTCGGGGCGCCGGGTTTCCGTATTGTTACACGGGAGATCTAAGCCCATTAGGCAGCGAATAGCCTCTTTCAAAGGAACTGCTAGACGCGCGGCCTCAGGTGGCGAAAGATCAATGGATCTACGAGTTTGCACCGCTATATGTATCCTTCTCCAAACTGGACGGCTCTACCGAGGCGGACAGGCGGACAAGTGGCGGCTGATGTTGGTTGACGTACAAAGAACGGACGCCACACGCATGCGAACGCGCGCCTCGACGCGGTTCGCCACAAACGACCACGACCTTCGCAGGTTTGATCGCGGACTCGGCTTGACGCGCGCTCTGCGTTCTGCCTATCAGCTCTTCAATACCATCTGATTTACTCCGTATCTGAACCTATGTCCGACTCTCCGCGATATCTGGATTATTCGAGGAGTGGTAGCCGTGACTCGGAAGACCGCGCAGGCTTTACCGTGCGTATGCAGCATACCATTACTCGTTATCGGAACTGAATGCATACCGTAGACACCAATACGGCGATTTACGGCTGAAGTGCTCGTACAAATATTCTTATGGAGCGTTGTTGTCGACCCTGTGCATCTGGCAGCTCCCCGTGACTCGCCCAGACCACTGCCGCGAGATCTGTACGGGTGGCTGAACGTCACGCACGTTTGCCGACGCTGGAGGCGTCTGGCAATTGATACTCCTGCTCTCTGGACCGATATACACACGACTATGGGCCAGAGCTGGGTGGACGCGTTTCTCACCAGGAGCAAGAACTTGACCGTATCCTTCAGTAACTTCATCAATCCGTCCGTGGTGCAGGACCCCTATCGCCTTATGGCAGACCCAATACTCGCAGAGCACATACAGCGCATGCACGCTATCACACTACTTCAACCGAAGTACGGCAAACCGCACGACGATCTCATGCAAACTCTGCCAGCTCTCGAATCATTGACAATATTCTCTCAGTTCTTGATGTTCAATAACACATCCTTCGCCGATGACTTCCACGCTCCTCGACTACAACATCTGGCCATACTCTCACCCCAGAACTTCCCCTTACATGCGTCTTTCGTAGCCCATCTATCGTCATTATGTCTTGCGAACCGAAGCACTCCTGGTCACATCGAACCAGGCGCTTTCTATGAGCCTTTGCGGCGCATGTATCGACTCGAGCGTCTCTGCCTGGAGGATCTCTTAGCAGGGCTGAACAACGCGACAGACATTGAGCCCGTAGAGCTGCCCCATCTTCGCTTGCTGAGGTTACACGGCAAGTGTGACCAAGTCGTCGGTCTGCTCTCCAAGCTCAGCATCGGGAGAGTCGAACTTGACATCGCGTGCACCAACATCGACCTCACTGCGGGAACGACTCAGACATTGATGGACAACATGTCCAAGTTCTTACAAAAATACAATGCCACTTTCGCAGGCGATCCTGGGCTCACGTTCAAAGCGCTCTCTGTGATCCAATGCGCTGAGATCGACAAGCCTTGGGTTTCCATTCATGCCGAACGACAGGATGTCGGGCCAGACTGGGATCCGGCATGGCGTGCGCCGTATCGAGTCAAGCTGGACGGTCAGCAACTGCCACAGTGGCAGATTGACCCGCGCTTTCAGGACTCTATCAGCGCTCCATTATCGGGCTCCTTCAACTTCTCGCTGGTGTTCAAGAAGGCCGAACCGAAGGCGGTGCTCGAAGCATTGGACCGTTTGCTGGGCCAGTTACCGCTCCTCGACGTACGCGTATTACGTCTTGAAGGACAACACGCGTCCGCATTCTTCATTCCGTTGCCTCACGTACCCCGCGTTCGACACATCCGTGCATACCCTCCGACCGTTGCACATTGCCTCGCTGCTTTGGCATATAGGGGTGAAGGCGACGTCCGCTTTGCGATGGAGCTGGCGGAGCTCTCTTTACCCCAGATCCCTCCCATTGCGTGGGTTGGCGATACGGAGACCTCAAAGGATCCGCTGTACAAGCAGATATGCGAACTGCTGGAGACGCGGATCACGGAGGGTATGGAGCCCATACGCACGATATTCCTCCAGCATCCTGCGTTGCACTTTAGGTCTCTCTTCCGTGGTAGCGATGGGGCATGGTTCGGGTTGCCCGAGACGTTGAGGCGGGTGGTGAAGGAGGAGTCCACTTCCGACGACATCGCATGAGCCTTCCATACGACGATACTATCCTATTTGTACACGTTGTAGCATGTCATTCATCGTCACGCATCTTCGAACCTCTCCATTTTGCCCGTATCTTACAATGTCTCTCCATCCAATCGCACGCAAATATACATGCTAAATACTTGTACTATCCTCTCTATCCCGCCTTCGTCGCACGAAGGACCATATTCTCCAAACTGATAGCGCGATAGTCGCCTTCGGCATCAGGCGCATAAACGGCATCGTCGAGAATGTAAACCGGCACCCCGCCCTTCCCGTCGGCGGTGGGCGAGACGCGGAATAACGGCATACGCGACTTCTCGTGCACGCGCTGCGTCGGAACGAGCATGAGGTTGTGCTCGGCGGCGAACTCCTCGACGATGGAACGGAAGGTGATCTCATGTGTGCGCGCCGGCACACGGCGTGATGCGGCCGCGGGCGCTGGTGTAGGCGCCGGGCTTCCTTCACGACGATGTTGAGGCCGTGGAAGCTGTGTCGGCGCGCGGGGACCCAGATCAATCGCCTTGTTGACCATATCCAACCCTCGCGTAAACCCGGCTTGTACCGCTGAAAGGCTCTGTACGTCCTCGGGGAATACACCGCGCCAGAACGCGAGCCACTGGGCGACTTCCTCGAAGCTGGCGCGTGGTTGGACAAGCCAGATGTATAGCGTGTCGAGCCACTTCGGGAAGAACTCCGCTTCGAGTAAGGAGCCGACGATGCTACCGCGTAAGAGCGGCGCCCACGCAAGAGTGCGCTCGAGCGGGCCCATGTCTTGCTCGCGGGGATTGACGCGGAAGTCTTCTCGCATGTGGGCTCCGAGCTTGGGTACGACGTATTTGAGTACCATAGCGTCCCAGTCGCTAGTGTTGAAGACTTCGTGCCAAGCCGAGAGATCGGCCGGAAGGGAGTCGGTGGCTTGCCAGCCGCGCAATACAGACTTGAGCTTGCGCCGGGCGTCGCCGAGGTAGTCCTCCATACGCAAACCGACATGAGGGAGCCATGGGAAAACAACTGCCCTGAGAGATACGGTATCCCGTCGTGCGCTCCATTCTGCGACAGCCTTCGCCACCTTCGGGAGGATGAGTTGGTCGAGGAAGTTGTCGCGGATGAAAGGGGGGAGGAAAGTCGACCACGATTCGTAGAGACGCACGGCGGCGTGTGGTTTTCGTGCGTCCCAGTCGTTATTGATGGCAGAGCGCACTCGTGGAAGCCACAGATTCCATAATAGGCTCTCGAACGGGGTCATCGGTACTTCGACCGCCGGTGCTGCAATAGAGACGACAGTCGCGCCATACATGCTGACCTGTGTCTCGGGCCGTGGTGGCGCCTGCGCTTCTGTTATCTTGAGCGCCCGCCGCCACAGCCGGAAGGTATCGAGCAACAGGGTTGGCTCTTCGAGCGGCTGCCAACTTTGCAGACTTCGTCGTACCTGTTTCAATATGAGCAAGCAGAACGTATTGATGATACATGATAGCGGCTTACGATTGGTGCGATGGCAGCGACGACTACCTCATCCAGACGATATCGATCGTACTCGTGAGGATACGTCGTGACCAGCTGGCTGATGTATGGCGATAGTGGGTCTAAGGTGGCCTCATACGAGGAAGCCAGACTCTTTGATGTGGACTGAATGTCATCACAAACGAGATGGACCTTCTGCATGCGCGCGATGACTAGAACGAATATGAGAAACTGTTGGACGGTTGTGTCTGAAAGTACTCACGATCCGCTTCATCGGAGACCCTCTTGCGCAGGCGCATATCCTCGGATTGTATCGTCTTGCGCCGTTTCTGAATTTCGGCACCTTCGCGAGCGAGGCCTTGCAGATCGGCGGTTGCAGCCTCAGTGATGAGACGAAGATTATGACGAACCTCCGGTATCCGCGTTGAGTCGCTTGTGGGCGTCCAGCTAGCATTAGATACGTCCGCCAATGAGGCGACTTCGCGAGGCTGATTGAAGACGTTAGAAAGAAGACATAACTCAGCAAATGTAGCACTTACGGTGGCACCAGTCGCGTCAATAATGATCCCGACACCTGAAGGGACTGCTGCATCTTGACCTGCATCCGCGACAATCTGCTCGTACGTCTTGTGCTCAACCCGCGTTCGGACCTTCTTGGGCTTCTGCCAGGCGTCGGCGCGTTTCGGCTGACCCTTCCCTCTACCGGCCTTCTTTTTCCCTTCCTCCTTCTCATCATCACTATCGACGATGCCTTTGCGTCTGGCCTCCGCCTTCGATTGTTCGGTCTTCTCCTTGAAACCCTGAAAGGCGATACCCGCTCCCTTCGGACGCAGTTTGGATTCTATGGGCGTCACGATGCCCTCGCCGGTACTACCCAGACCCATGCCTGCTTGCCAGCCCATCTTCTCGAGCATGCGAGAACCAAAGCTCCCCTTGAGTTTGCTGAAATGAACCCGTTCATGAGCAGCAAGTACCGCGGGACCGCGTGGCGTGGAAGATTCGGCTTCTGAGCGAACGAAAGACCGTTGAGCACGGGAAGCAGCGCCGAATGCAGATGGAAGACTTTCGGGCATCTCATCGTCAATAGCAGGCGGCGCGGGTGAAGCCGAAGAAGGCGGAGACGGTGCTGCAGAAGCGACGGCAGAAGCTGTAGCAGACACAGCAGCCGGTCGGGATGCGCCTATTCCAGAGCGCGTGAAACCAGAGAATGAAGTCGGCGGGTTCTTCCTCGAGGCTCCAAGCCCTAGACCTCCAAACCGTGGCCGTTCGTCCTCCTCTTCCGCGTCCTCTGACGCTTCTCGCACTCGCGGCGAAGCTGGCCGCGACGCGTCGTCGCTCGAATCAGCCGCGTCCGCCATTTCCTCATCCTCTTCTCCCGCTTCTTTGCCATCCGGCTCCGCCTGTTTTGACACAAACGTTGGGGCTTTCGCCCAGTCACTGCGTTTGGCAGGTGGTCGCCGCTCCTTCTTCTTCCCAAACCCTTCCTCCTCGCTATCATCTCCAAATACGCCATAGATAGCATCATCCTTCCCTCTGCGCTGTCGTTTCCGTCCGTATGGATTCTCAAATAGTTGTCGTTCATCCCGCTCATCCGGATCCTCGTCGACTGGACGGGCATCTAACTCCTCCTCAGATCCAGACACAGAGTCAGAGTCATCGCCATCATCAAGAAATGCGCGTTTCCGGCCCATATTGTAGTGTACAGACAGAAGTGGTGGCGTAGGAAACGTTGATGGTGGTGGTGAAGAGCAGGCAAGGTCGCGACTTGCCCGCACGCGACTCACGACGCGCGACGCGTCTTGCCTTCCACCACGACCATCGTCTAACCTCTCTTGCACAACTTCGCGGCAAATGTTGAATTATTAAAAGCATGTTACACCGCACATCAGCTGGATCTACCGTGTACCCAGGCGTGTCTTTCAAGCAGCTACAACGCGTCATAGTTTACGTCCTTCATCACACGCGCACGATGGCGCGAAGCACGACACTCGTGTTCTGAGGCTTCGTTAGGATCCTTGACACTTTAAGACGTACAATGAGAGTCCTGGCTGAGGACTGGGCCCGAACTTCAAGCGGAATCTCTCAGAGAGCTCGGCCTCGGTATCTTCGTGTAACGAGGTCTGTCGGAGACGTCTACGGGTCGTGGACATCGGGGCAGTTAAGAGTCGGAGCGAACCTTCTCTAAAGTGGCATGTATGAGCCCGGCTAACCCTTTTCGTTTACACGTACGTGAAATACCTTCTTCTGTGCTTCTAAGGCGGCCGACGATACTCTCTTGACTTCGAAAGATCCATACATGAATGATGATGTACCGATAAACCCCGGACGATTGTCTTCAAAACATGAACTTCTCTGGCTGAACTATTCCTGCCTCACTTTGGTCGGCCGCCGCAGCCTGTCAGACGCTCACCGGCGAGGGAACGGGACCGCGACGAAACCCTGCTCTGCTCATACAGGGAGCGAGGTCCACCTCCTCAACTCTCTCGTCTATACCACAAACGCGAAAGCGTTCGACTCCGACCATGGAAGCGCCGTGTACGGTATAGCGCGCTAACTTAGCTATGGCAACAGTTCTTATCAATGGCAGACCTTCAAGCTTGCACGCTTCCATGCCACACGCTTAAGCTATGCGGGTGCGTTCTCTATATGCACTGCAACGCTAGACGATCACACTGACGCACCGACGCAGAATCCCTCGCACGAGGCCGGCCTTCGCATCACGATAGCTGTCTGAGGCGTGTTGTCTTGTCTTGCCATCTGGGTTCTCCCAATCCATGTACCTTGAGTGCCTTGTTCACGTCAAGATCTCTGAATAGGACCGCTGTACACGGATGTAAGCGCGAATGTCAAAAGTTGCCGCACATGGTTGCCGGGGACAGCTTTGCGCTTGTAAGACGTTGTGGGACGTGGAGCTTCAATCCATGTACCGAGCCAATACGCGCTCGAGCCAGAACGCTGAAGCCGCAAGACGCTCAGCTGCTCACCGGCCGTCGGCTTCGGCCGGCGCCGTGGGCTCACAGAGGCTTCGATCTACACAAAGCTACGCCAGTCGTACACGAACAAGAGCGCCAATCGTGAGTAGACTCGTGTGTGCCTTCTCAATTGTGCGTATTGAGACCTTCCCCACACGTTTCTCAGGAGGAAGGCCTTCCTGTTCTCGTTGTGTAGCCTTCGCGATCGCATCTGTGGCACCTTTTCTCAAGAGACTCAACGTGCGCGATCCGTAACCTATCATCCAGAGATTTTTTAGCTTTACTTGCGGTGTTACGAGTGTGTAGAGAGGAGATGGAGCTCCGAATGTGCCTACGGGCGATAGGTGAATCTCATCCTGCATCGGACTCCTACGTCGGTCTCTGCAGGTCTCTGCAGGACCATTGATCCAACACGGGCGCTTCCACAAGCTTTCTTCCATTCAGTTGGAACTTCTTTCTCATGATAGTGATTTCAATCTCCGATTCGGTCCGCGGCGCCTATACGATACCCGGAGCAGGGCCGTCCGGGCGCTGTGCTTCTGAGCGGAGAGTTGGGCGCTCCAGTCCGACGCTCGTGTCCTCGAGACTGGAGACCTAGACACAGCATCGCCAGAGAGCACGTAAAACATGATGACCTGGTACGATACCGGTCCACCGTACGCGTACTATCTTGCTTCATGGACTTGTCGGATTCTGCGGCTTGCGGCTCGATCGCTGGAACTTCGCGACCCTGCTCAATAGATCCACTGTCTCCAAGTTGTAAAGGTAACTTGACCGTCCGAACGTATTCGCACCAGAGTGGCGACAAATGCGCGCAGGCTGATGGGGAGTTAGGAATTTCGGTACCGCATCCCGAAGCCAAGCAGAGATCCAAACCGCCTGAATTGAATGTTCACTTGTTCAGGAAACTACTCACGAACTTCTTCAAGTCCAGAAGCTCTCACACCGGGCTGATCCTGCGTACAAGCATGACGATTACCGGGCTTGTCGTATCCGGCCCAGCGTAACGGCCAGTCCCCTCATCAGTAATCAGCACGTCATGTTTTCCGATTGTTGTAGGTCAGGCGCGAGGGATGCAAGATCCCTCTGATGCAGAGACATCCCAAACGGGAAATAGCACCGTGAACACGAGGCAGTCAGCGACGAGGAGCGCGCACCCTCTCCATCACAAGTATTCATCAGTGGCAGAGATCTGCTGCGAGATACAACAGCCTTTCAAACTCAGCGAAGCACCCCGCGCGGAGGTGGCCGACGACCACGGCGGCGCGGCAGGGGAGGGCGGGACAGAGACGGACATCCCATGGACCATGGTACCTCGCTTAATGTTGTTGAACTTTGAGGTACGTGTGACGACGAGACCTGAGATACGGGACCTGCGCAGTGCGAACATGTCGTTTGGAAGTTATGCATTATGAGGTGTACCGCGGCCTGGATGCCGAGAGGTTGTACGATCATTTGCTTCAGATCAGCGGCAAGACGTCTGCGAGAGGGCGCAACGGTTGTTGTGAGACACAGGCGCGCGAAAGAGAGTTTGCACTGAGGTATACTTACGCAGCATAACGCCTTGTGTGCCTACCTGTACACGGCCGACTCGGGCAGGCGTGGGAAGGCGGTCTGCATACAGTACACCTCACTGTTAGACGGGCTTGTCGGCCAGACTTCAGGAGACCAAGTTCTTACCGCCGCAAATGCAGGCGCGTGATGATGCGCAAAAGCCATTGAATGGGCGGCCTGGTGGTTGTCTATAGCGAAGTGACGATCGCCCAGATGGATGTGCACAAGGTTTCTCAACATATGTACAACGGCGCCTCGACTTCAACGACGCGCTCACGCAACACTGACCTATTCAAACACGAGGAAAGCACTCAATGGGGCACGCGCTCCCGCAGCTCAGTGATGAGCACCCTGAATGATGATGCGCATACAGGTCGAGAGCAGGCGAAGAGGTGAGGATTAGTTGAGGCAACTTTACTGAAAGTTGTGTGGAAAAATCGGGTACAGTTACAATGGCCCGATGCGTTTACGAGTCGTGGCGTCGATGGTCTCGAACATTGTGTTATACATAGGCGAACGAGTTGCATTGGATAAGAATAAGTATCCTCTATATCAGAGGGTTTGACAGTGCCTCCGAGTCGTAATTTGGAGACGTCGAGACCTCAGGCCACGGGTTGCGGTAGCTTTTGTGTACTCCATGTAGCGATTGTGACAGTTCTGCCATCGGAACAGATGACCTGGAAATAGGGCATAGTTACACGAAGATACGACAATGCCGGAGGATCATAAGACGTCAGTCGCTCGCAGACCTGCCGCGACCACATTGGTGTGTTTGATTGACTTGACGAAGCGAAGATAGGGCGCTCTCACCAAACGAAGGGTTATCACTGTCTAGGCACCTGAGTCGAAAGTCTATGCAGAGAAGACACTGATGGCCTGAGAGACAAACTGACAGGTTAGTACTTGTCGGCACCGGAACGCCAAGCAGGCAGGAGAAGCGGGTACGTGCCACGAGCAAGTCTTGCCGTTCCTTGCGGATACCGAAAGCGCTCACCCGCTTGTGCACAAGAACAGCAGCTTCAAGCCTACGCATCAGGAACTGCTCCAGGCTGCGCCTGCGAAGCTGAGGTCATCTTGAGAACGAGCCGCAAGCGGACCTCGAACCATGGGCGTCTTCCGGCTCGTTGTTGTTTCGACCGCACACAGCTCCCCAATGTAAAGTTACCGTGCCGCGGCCCGAAGAACGGCAGAAGTACGCGCACAATCAGTGCGGGTCAAACGACTGTATGCGGACGAACGTTCGGTAAAACAAAACGGGCGTCCATGGCAGGGTGTCGGAGATGCGTGTTGGTCCTCGAGGAACCACCGCTGCCACACATGCGAGCAGCCAGCTGAGCCCTCCAGCGCCAATCCGTCTTCATGCATGCATGATAGCAGCGTGAAAATAGAGTGCGCGCGCTTGGCCAGGGTGTCAGCTGGAGGTAGAATATTCGTAGGGATGCTTTCCGGAGCGCCGCGGAGGCGCATCATGCAAGGTTCTTGTCACCGACTCGGGTCTCGGACCCGGACAGCGCGCACGCTGAGCGGCGCGGTGCAGAGAAGCGCTCAACAGCGGAATCACGTCACTTTTGTGCAGCTATCAGCGAGCGCGATGAACCTCGGTTCAACCAACCGCGAAGGAGTACAAAAGTTTGACGCCGCCTAGATAGAAGAAGACCGCCAATGATTGTATGCGAGCATGATGGACAAGGAAGAGTGCACGACAGCAAATAATCCCCCTGAACGACGACATGGACGCGTGGGCCAACATCGTGGACGACGTCGTCTGGGCGATCATCTTGCGGTCCTACCGGGCCGGCCCGAGGCACGGCAATCATGCAAGCGGGCGCGTCGAACCCCGACGCGTCTTCCCGCCGCCACCACGTACGACTTCTCGTCCTCACGCTCGCGGTTGTCAGCCAGGCGTTTATCACTTGCAGTATTAGTGCCGATGTCACTCGGATCGCAATGCCAGACGCCTCTTTTTCGCCATCATCATCCACTGTCGCTTCCATGCAGCCGCAAATAGCTACCTTTTGCTACCCTTGAATCGCGAGCTCGGGTGGGTTTGACAGCCGCCATGAATCGTACCCTCCTTTCATCATCATCACCACCTGCTCGCTTTACCTTCATGCGCGCTTCGTGGGCAAATTACAGCGGTTTGCACAATGACGTGAAATCGCGCCCAAAAGTTTCTCTCTTTGGGCTTGTTTGTTCGTGACCATCAGTAACGCGGATACGTGGCCGACGCGTCTTCCCAACCACCACGTTGGGGCGATCCGATGAGCTGGACAACCGTTCGAGCATCGCGCAAGCCATAAGGGTTGTTTCAACCGGACGTATGAGGGTGTATGACTATCTGGTGGCTTTGGGAGATCTAAAAACATGAGTAGAGTCTCTCAATAACCCTGAAAGATAGTGACCCGGCTGCCGGCGCCGTCATCGACTTGGGGCGGGGCGGGGTGGGCGCGCGAGATGCCATGCCCTCTCAACCTTGTCCCTCACCGACTTCTGGTCTATCCTGCGCACCCGATGGGGAGTGGAGACGCCGACCAAAAGCGCTGTACCCGTACATTGACCTCTGTGAAGGGCCAGGGCGAGCTGGCGACGTGTAGATCGTGACCCATCAGTGACGGGACAAATAAGGCCAAAGAGAAGAACTTTTGAGCGCGATTTCACGTCATTTTGCAAACCGCTGTATACATCGATGAGGTGCCGACGCACCCGGCGCTCAATCTTCTCCTGTGGCGATATTCGTGCCCAGCTGACGATTTCGTCCCACGGCATGTCGAGTTTATCGACAAGGTCGTCGATCCGGCGTGGCATAACGTACCGCATTTATCGCGCCCGAGCGGTTCCGGGCATCGTATCGCCGTGTGCAGAGCTTCGGGGCGATTGGGGCGTGATTCTCGTACTGGCGGCGTCGGGATGCACTGGCTGCATGTTGTCGCCCACTGTGAGCTTGACTGCGCGTTGCGACCACCTCGAAACTGGCGCCACAACCCCACACGAGTGAAGGCGACCCCGCCTCGGTGATCGAGATGACTTTAATTATGTGCACCGATCGTCCCGAGACATGCCGCCCGCCGTCAACAACCTCACGGGACCGTCACAGGCGCTTCGCAGTGCCGCTCAATACCTTATTGCATAGACTCGCGCCGCCGGCTGACGTGCCTCGCTGAACAGAGGCTAGTGGCGGCGCGGTATCTGGAGAGGGCAAAGTCCGGCGTGCTAGCCTTCAAAGCGTCATGCTCTGAACGCAGCCTTGATCTAGGCGGCGGTGGGCGTCCATGGGGGCCACCTCATTACCGACGATGCGCGGCTGCGCGAGCTCGCATTGTCGACGGCGATCGTACTTCTTCGCGCAGCATTTTTAATGTCCGCGATTTTCGCACAGATTCTTCCCCGTTTATCTTTCGCTTTTGATAGAGCTGCCAAATTAATCGTCCTCTCAGAACGTTCGCGCGGATAATCACGGGTTTGAAGAACTCCGGCGGGTGGAAGAGAGAGAACAGGGCCAGCCCGATGCCCTGCACTAAGCTCTGTATGTGCATCCTCTTATGCCCTACTCGCAAACATCGGTCCTGGAATGTATAGAATGCGTCCGCTATCTGAAGCCTTGAATAGCTTTGCATAGATCCGAATACATCGACTGTCGTGATGTACGCCTCTCCCTGCATCCCCATCTTACCGCGCGGATGTCGACATCGACGAATGTCCGTTCGAGTTCCGCTGTATACAGGCCGTGATGGATAGGGAGATCGCGGCATGCATTCCGGCCAAGCTGAACTTGTGATCGTTGGGAGCCTCGAGGTCCTCGCTGGACGTCCCGCGGCAACAATGTAGCCCTCCGAGTAAAGGGAGTTCAAATTCCGGAGGGCCCCTGCCCGAGCTCTCCTGTCCGAGTTACGAGCGCACTTGTCTAACGGATCGCAAGAAGGGCGCGTTTCGGTACCGCGCGCTCCTCCAGATGCGCAGGTGGGCGCGCCGTCCATCGTCAACGCCACCGCCCGCCGCGCGACCGCTCAACGAATATAAAGTTCGCCCAGGCTTGCGCCCACACTGTGCGGCGCTTCGCTCGTATTCCGTAGTGACATGTTGCATTCAAGTATTGCAATTTGCCAGCGTCCAGGTGCGCGTTCTGATGCTCGCGCCAAGACTGGGCAACGCGAGCCCCGCAATATTCCCATATCGTTTCCTCTCTCCATTTGCTCCCGCCCGTCTCGTCTCAATGCGGCGGCAAATGACGAGATATGTACATGTTGAGCGCTGGGCGCTCTCTGTGTGTAGAGCGTCCCTTGTTCAGGTGCAGGTTCGAGATCGGGTCAATGAGCGAGTTTCGTCGAAGGTGAAAATAAACTTCATTCCTAGGGCGTTTACAGCTCTTAGAGCACCCGCTCGCAACTTTACAAGTCATGCGATACAGAAAGATAGGCGGCCGACTTGAAACAGTGTTCAGGACATTATGCGCAAGGGTAAATATCGTCACGACTGAGTTTATCGTGTTGCATCCGTGCACGCCTGACCAGCGCCCGCCGCGATACTCGATGCAGGATTGGCTGCGGGTCCCAACTCTCCGTCAATACAGATGTGACAGGGGCGTAATCCGTCCGGTTCCTCTCCGGGTGAGACCTTGGCGGGACCGCGAGCGTACACAATGGTACACTGTCCTGGTCGGCGCGTTTCGACGAACACTGTTGAGGGAGGAGCTCACGATGGCTTGAGGCTATCATGTAGACCCTTCGCACCTCGAACCAGCCTGGAATGAACAGCGTAACGCCTTGCGCATGATTTGGACATAATGCAGGTCGTCGTTTACGCCTGGCGTCTGCCTCCGCCACCGATAATCGCTGTTTCAATCCGTGTGGGCCGGGCTTCACGGCTTCAGGACGATCGATGGGCTACATTGCGGGGAACTGAGAGGCTGCGGCCGCCATGAAAGAGCGGGGTTGCATCGAGTACGGGGGCGGGACCCGACGACGGCGCCCGTATTGGTTGTCCGCGACACGGACAGCGGGATGAGCGAGACGCTGGAAGGAGACACAGCGAACGGGAGCTCAACTGGCTGTGCGGGACCATCGTCAAGGAGGTGAACCGTCTCTCCTCGGCCTCCGGACTCGCGACGGGTGGAGTTCGCGAGACATGTGCGGTTCGAGAGAGCGAGCAGCTCCGGAGGACCATTCGAGATTCGTATGCCCATCTGGTGCGTACGTCAAATTGCTCAGGGTATCGAGCAGAAGGGGAAACGACGAGAGACGCGCGGGTTACAGGTGTAGGTCGGGATGTTCATTTCGAGAGGATTTAGCAAGCATGCCCGGTCTCTGCATGACGCTTTCGAGCCCTTGCCGCCGTGGGCGCGACGCACAATGCCATTATCCGCTTTCAGCCTCGACGAGCCTCTTCAGATGATGATGATCAGAGGCTCTCACGGACATTCTCGAAGATCGTATGCTTCTTCGCGATGGGGAAACTTGTGGCCCACCGGTATCTCATGAGCTCAAGGTGGGTGGGAGACCGAAGGTCATCGCGCGCACATCGCGCCCGTCGCCGGATCAGAAGGCGGACTTGGGGCCCCGAGATCCAGAGAAGCGGGAGACAGATGCGACACGATACCAACGAACACGGCAGCAGAAGAAGCGCCCGGGTCCCCAGCGGGACGTCCGGCCCTGTACTGTGCACCGCGGACGGGACGGGGCGACCTGCGAGCGCGCTGTGGGAGGCGATGGCGGCACGAGCCACGAGGCGCTTGTCAGGACAGAGTTCGGAGTCCGCTGACGGTAGGGGCAGGGGGCAAATTCGCCCGGTTTGGATCTCCTGCTTGTGAAGGCGGCGCGATCGCAGCGGGCGCGGCGCGGCTGGCGATGCTGAAAGGGCTTCACCAAAAGTCAGTCGGGCAGTCGAAGGAACGTGTGCTACCATGGCGAGGCATGCAGAGGCTTTGTGGCTGAAGAGAAGCGCGCTGGAGAAACGATTATGATTCGGGCGACACGGTCATGCTGTACTAAGCAAGTCGAGCCAGCCAGGCTGGTGCGCACAAGAAGTTCGGAAGCGGGCGAGGTAAAAAGAAGAGTGCGAATGGCATGCGCAAGGAATTCGATGTCGGTGATGGCGAGACCAATACGCTCGGTCCACCGGCCAGGTCTACCGCGAAGATCTTGCACAGGCTGAGGCTGGGGGGACGGGCGCTTGTGCGAGGGCGTACTGGGCGGGGCGTGGCGGCAGCTGTTTCTGGGCGGGAAACGATAGGACGGGACAGAAAAGTAGAATATAATGCGCAGGGGGGCGATGAATCTTCAACCAATAGAAAGGGGAATTTGAAATTCCCAGAGATCGGATCGGGATCATTAGCATCCGGGGCAGAGCCGCTTAAGTATTAAGTCGCGTTTGGAACGCCAGCCCGAAGGAGCCCCTGCTCGCCCCGCCTCGTCCGTCGCACTGCATAATATGCTGCAGTACGAGCGCCCTTCTCAGCACCACTTTGACTACTCGCCTGCCATGATTCACGGCCACTACTACGATTCCCCCTCCCAGCCCCGGCCCGATACCGCTGGCTCTACCGCATCCTCGGGCTGGGACCACATTTCGCCCGTCGACTCGCCCACGTCCCCCACCTTTGCGTACGCGGCTCACCCCAACCTCGTGCTGCCGTCCCCCGCAGACGTCGCCCACGATCCGCACGACGACGCCAACAAGACCTATTCCTTTGTCTCTCTGCCCGGTAACGCCGTCAAGAAGCGGCCCCGTCGCCGCTACGACGAGATCGAGCGCCTGTACTCGTGCAACTGGCCGGACTGCACAAAGGCGTACGGCACCCTCAACCATCTCAACGCGCACATCAACATGCAACGCCACGGTCCGAAGCGCACACCCGCAGGTATGTGCATGACGTTTTTCGGTTGACGCTTCCATGCATCGTGTTGACGGCCGTGATCGCAGAGTTTAAGGATATGCGTAAGCAGTGGCGGAAGGCCAAGAAGGAAGAAGCGGAACGCGCCGCGCGCCTCCACAGCGCCGCCAACGGCTCGGCGCCCGGCTTCCCACTCAGTGCCGCCGCCGAACACTCGTCGCACGCACACCACCACCACCACCTCGCCCAGCACTCGTCCCTCCCCGACCTGCACCAGCAGGCGCACTATCCCGGCCATGGTCACTCGCACTCGCTCAGTTTCACGCCCGCCTACCATAATCAGCAGCCCATGTACCGCACCATGCCGCCTCAACAGCTGCAGTCTATCGAAGAGTACGGCCAGCCTCTTCGCCGCCACTCCATGCACACGGTAGCGTCGCTCTCCGGTTTCCCGCCTCCGCACCCTCAGGCGCCGCCGCCGCCACCTCAACATTTTGCGGGCGTGCACACGCTGCAGCACTCGCTCTCGAACGCCTCGCTCTCGAGCACCTCGCACAGCCTGTCCCCGCCGCACGAGTATACTGAGCCGCCCCAGCAGCAGCAACAGCAACCAGGCTCGTACAGCTCGGGCTGGATGTCTCGCGCCGAGACGCAGGGTTGGGACTCGCAGCCGCAGCCCCAATACTCGTACGAGGCTCACCACGGCCAGCCGCCGTCCGTGTACGAGCAGCCGCGCTCGATGTACGGTGACACCCGAGGCTCACTGGCACCGGACAGCACACTGCTTACGCCCCTCGACGTGCCCGGCTACGCGCCTGCCGTCCACCACGACGACCGCTGAGCGTCGCGCGACCTTCTGCTTGGATTTTCGACCTTCTCCGTGCCTGCCTTTTCTGTGGATCCCCTGTCCCATGTCTTCCCCTTGCTCGTTTACTTTTGCTTCTCCGATGTTTAATTACTACTCGCTTGTGCATCATGTTTGTCACCCGTCTCCGCCTCGATCTCGCCGCATATGCTCTCAATTTCCTTACTCTACGCGCCTTATAGTCCGCGTGGACTCTGATGCCCCAATGCTCGCGCACCCTGTACCGGCCTCAATACTAGTTCTCGTCTCGCTCATAGCGCGCCTCGCCCGCCAGGCCCTCTCCGCTGGAGGGGCTGTGTGCCATATTTGTATCCTTAGTACTCCATCCCCATGGTTTCTCTCTCGCACACTTCAGTCACGCCATGCCATCACATGCCATGCCGCTGAGGCCAATGGTACACCGCGCTCGTACTCGTTTTGATGCAATCCACCTCTGTTCTCCTTGTTTCTGAGGATCGGTGTGAACCGTCGCGACGGGCGCCTTGCAAGCGCCGCCTCTGTCAAGCCACCGTGATGCGCCCGGGCAACAAGGTATGTTCGGGCTTTTGGATGGTGACCGATGTGGCCAGGGCTCAAGTCCCAGTTTTCGTACCTGTCGGCGACGCGTACCGAAGCATTCAATCCGTATATCGATGAACGGTCAGGAGGCCAGCCTGCTTGCAGAGGAACAGTCGACGACGAACCCCATTTGCAAATTCCACAAAGGATGCACTGCAAATCTGAGGTCTGAATCGGGGACGAGCTTCTTTGGGGCGCCTGCTATCTAACACGCGAAGACGAGCTCGCATCTGAGCGCGTCTGTATGCGCTACAGCCCCACTGTGGTTTGGATCTTTCGGCTTCCAGAGCGCACGCCCAGAGCATCTGTCGGCAACGCGCGCCCGCCCTCTGGAGCTTTTGCGCGCGGGGCCTGCACCAGCTGACCCAACGCCGCACACACTGCAACCACGCATACCACGCACAACACCCGAACATCCAACCACTCACGGGGTCGGAGCCCCTGTCCGTGTGCTCCAGATCACTCTCAAGTTTCCGAGCTCTCCCGAATGTATGGATTGCGATACCATATCGGGTACTATACCATTGTGCGGCATAGTTACACAACTACAGCCTGCGCGGCGCTGAGATTGAGCCCGACTCGGGAATCCTTCTACTCCCGAATCCCTCGACAGATAAGACGGGACTTTCGATTCCCACTTCACTTCGCCGCTCTCGGGGGTGCGAACACTGGTTCGCAATCAAGTCGCAAAACACCCTGCGGCGGGCCTTCCAGAAGTTGGCGCACGACAAGCCAGCACCCTGACACGCTCGTTGCGGAGCCACCACCAGACCTCGCCAAGGCGCAAGTTCCGCGCCTCCACCCAGCCTCCGCGATATCCATCAGGCGCAGGCTTCGTGAATCGTCGAGCAGAGGTCTGATCTTCTTGCGCGCGAAGGGCACGAGTTCAGACATCCATCCGTTAATCGCGCATTGACAATTGAAAGCAGTTGGGCGGGCGAGGCGTAGGTCTGCGGGACTTGCATCTCGATTGCATGGGCGGGCCCGCGTACGCGCACCTCGTGTCCCAAACAGAGTTCAATTGTGCGCGTACAAGCGTAGAGTTCATGTTCGCGGCCGGCCGGACGCCGCGCAGGATGAACAGTGATGCTTGAATTACGGCGCACGGCGCGCGTGTGGCAGCGTGCAGCGTCGAGAAACTCAGCTCAACGGAAGGGAGCGGGAGGAGGAAGAGAGAAAGCGGGATGCGAACAGGAACATGCAGGTGGCGCGATCATCGTCGTTAACCGGCGCGAGGCCGAACCTGAGCCCGATGCGTGGCCCTGTATCTGCAGTCTGTCAAAGAGCGTATCGAGCGTAGAAGCACTCGGAGGAACAGTGGTACGTGCCCGCGGCACGCACCCGCAACGTGCACACCCTGTTATACGGCCAGCTCGCGGTCGAACATGAGTGGCGCGAAGCAAGCACGATGCGTCGATCATGCATGTTCTCTCGACTTTTCCCCGGAACACCAATCATCAGCGCGTCAAAGCACCAGCTTACCCGCGCACCGGCCCTGGTGAGCGTACCGATCGTGCTCACGCTCAGGCGCGCACGGACCGCAGCGCGCGTCAACATGCCCGTTCATCTTCAAAGAGATTGAGGGGCGCGTGCCGGTTGTCGGCGCGATGACGCACGATGATCGAGTCAAAGATGGCAGCTCAAATCGAAGGCGGCGGGGTGCGGCAGGCGTGGGTAGATGTGCCACAGATACATGCGAGGGCAACGCACTCGGTGAGTGTAGTCCTGCACAAACATAAAAGTCTGTACGATTGCTCGGGCGATGAATGCTCTGAATACCTCTGCATCCGGTCACTTGCGACAGATGGTGCGAGGCAGGATCAGTAGCATAGACGCCTGTGGGCGCGCATCATACTACCGCAGAGCCGGCGCATACAAACAGGGCGTCCCGAAGTGGATACGCGCCGTCGAGCACGGAACAGCGTATATCTTCCGTTGGCGACGACCAACGCGAACGGCTCGTTCAGTACGAATTGCTGGCTATTTGCACTACGATGAGGGCCCCGAGGTTGCCTGTGGCGCGATCTGCGTATACGGCCCTTCGGCACGATGAGCTTAACACGACTGTACGTGGGATTGTGCGCCCCTGCTTTGAATAGCCCAATAGGACATATACGAGCGCTGTAGTGTACCGAACGATAGATGGCGAGCTCGAGCAGTACCCTCGTCGCGCCCCGCCAAGTTTCGCATCAGAAAAGATATATCGGTCGCTGTACGATGCGGCCCCGCAAAGCTGTATCTGTCCGCATACGGGCACGGAGATGGCGGGCAACCTCGTTCAATCTGCTGCGTTTCGCCGCGGCCAGGGGCAGCGGTATGACTGCCGGCGGACCCCATCTTACTCAGCCCGAGCCTCATGGTCACCGACGCACGACGGCCGTGGTCCATGGACGAATACACGCGGAACAGCTCTTCTCAATATTGCTTGACGTCGACGACGATGTGCTTCTTCGCTGTTGTTGCATAATGAGTAGTCATTCATCGAGACCCTCAATGCCTAAAGGATATACCAAGTGACACACCCGACCCACACGCTTTGAAAGCGCTCGAGCGATGCGATATCACTGCGGCGTACGCGGTAAGAGCAGGGTCCTCCGATTCATGGCCGGTGTGGTCCACGACGCCCTACAACGGGCTCAGGCATCCCGGAAGGGCGCGCGCAGCCCATAAATTGGAGAGGAGTTTGAATCTGCATTTACGCCAAATGCCGGGAACGCGTCTCAACGCGTGCGACCTTCGTATCTGGCTCGTATCACGAGCATTACCGCAGCAGAGACGTGCGATCCTCGAGGCGCTGCGCCGAAGACAGACGGAATGACGCGTGCGACCGTTTAAGGCGGGCCCCGAGAGAGATGTGCGGGAAGAAACGGTCGGGCCACCGGGCGTCATGCTGCCACCCGGGCGATCCTCCGGATGAACGGGAGAAGCGTAAGAACTTGCATGCTGAGTACACGCGCACTGCCCCAACTGGCAGGCAGAAGGTAGACATGTTTAACGTCGTTCCATCGTGGAAGAGAGAGAAGAAGAAGCAAAATGTATAGAGAAGCAACGGAAGATTCAAGCGCGTGTGTGGCACTGGGAGACGCCGAAGCCACGAGAGCTATTGATGTGAGAGCGTCGTGTGGCATGGTTAACCGCGTTTGTCTGCGCGAGCGACAGTCGCACAGGGTCAGCATCAGATCTGGTCCAGGGTTTGGAGGGCCCAATACAGTGTGGAGTACCAATAACGTACCCACACTGCGGGAGACCTATCTGAAGTCACCCTGGCAGCGCTCGCTGCAGCGCGCACAGGCGGCCGAGAGATACAAACACGAGGCCTGGAAGCTGTTTGAGAAGAGTGTCTCAAAGGCGCAAGGAAGACGGCACATCATCAGCTGGTGAGAGCTGCGTGTCGCAGATCACAAAAAGAAGCGTACAGAAGGACTGTAAAACTGAGAGTAGTCAGATGACGGGTACAGCAGGCCGAGATGTAGGCGCGCACCGGCCAAAGTCACCAAGAGAATTCGTAACAGTAAGTCGCAAAGACAAGAAGATACATGACCTGCTCAAAAGCGTGAAAATCAGAGTGGATTGGCAGCACGAACGACCACCGTGGCTTACTCAAGCAAGGCACCTTATATTTGAACGTGGATGTGGATGCACGCCAGTGTTTCTATGGCAGAAATGAGTTAAGCCTGCTCAATGGGATACGCGACGCATGGCTGGTATAGAGTGTCATGTCGGCGAGCGCTGCCGGTGTTGGCAATCGCTGATGCGACGACCTGTCAAGTTCTCGAGCCTCTTTGGAATCAATCTCAGCAGCTCGTTCTTCGCCGCCTCGCAATGGACTGGAAGATCTCTCGGTCTATCGATCTCCAGCAGCTCCTCATAGAGCGGTTTCTGAATTGAGCATGTAGATCGAGAGAAGCATAACACGCCGCCAGAAAGCTCTGAATATTATGGATAGCATCGCGAGTTGCAGTGCGACTTACGAGCAGATGATGCTGCCGTGAACGGCAGCGAATCGAGGCCTGATCTAGAGAAGGCCTGGATGACAAGTACGATACCCTTGACGTGTAGAGTCAGATCATGAGGAAGTACGGGATGCCAGATATAGAACGACATGTATGATACGCGAGTGCGCACCGAAGCCGAAAGCCCAGGAATCTGCGAGGCATAACGCAGCTGCACGAAATTTTGTTTGTATGCTTCTCGATCGAGACGTCACTCGAGCGAGAGTGCGATATCCAGATGCTATGGAACGATGGAAGGTGCCACAGTTCCAATATTCGTTCCACCATGCGAGCTACTCGAGCTAGAATCGTAGTTGCGGTGCACTGGCAAGTCGCGCGCGAAGATGGTGGACACGTCATCAGTCACGCGTATGTAATCCGGCGATTCCCGATTCATTATGTAGATCGGGGCCACTCATCTTTTCGTTCCGACCACCATCACATTTTATCGGGCGTACTTGACTTCCACAACGTTTGTGCTCTGTGCTCGGTAACACGACTCGTGGAAAGAAATGCTTCAAGAATCTACGTAGGTCGGCACTGTGCTTCCTCCATGACTGTGTGCACCGGTTCTCGCGGGTGCTCCCCTGGCTCCCTTGCAGCCGCCTTCTTTTCCGACCGAGCACGTTGACCTCCACCGCGACCGGCTCAAGTTCGCACCCATTTTAATCCCCGGAATTCATACCCGCGAATGGGATCTTCAGAGTTGAAACATCAGTAAACCTTCCACCGCGTGAAAGCGCGAGTGAGAAACTCTAGCGCGCG